AAGGAGAAGGAAGGGTTCAAGGAGAAGGAAGGGTTCAAGGAATTTAGTCTAGATTATCCCCCCCCCCTTACCTATTACTTAAGTTCTTATCGATGTATTCATATATAACTGTGTATTTGTAATCGATTTTCTCATACTGTGTGCAGACTGTACAAGCTGTACAACATACGCTAGTTACTGTACTCTGTACAGTATATGAGAGTACAGCTTGTACATTAAGAACATAATTAACCAGCAGGTCTATAAGGAACTTTATGTACAGAATAAATCTGAGATTAAGAACCTAATAAACGTCCTCTATAGGTTTAAAGGGAACTATATATAAGAATATATCTGAGGTGAAGAACCAATAAACCTGCAGTATAGGTTTAAAGGGAACTATTTATACAGAATATATCTGAGATTAAGAACCAATAAACCTGCAGTATATGTTTAAAGGGAACTATATATGCAGAATATATCTGAGATTAAGAACCAATGAACCTGCAGTATAGGTTTAAAGGGAACTATATATACAGAATATATCAGGGATTTAAATGGAAAATAAAAAGTTTGAAAGTAGCATCTGCTAGACTGCAACAAACTACTATACAACGTAAGTTTACGCTCAATGATTTGGGAAAAATATGAAGTTGCAAAGTGCTGATAAATTGCAAAGTGCTGATAAATTGCAGAGTGCTGATTAAGTGCACAGTGCTGATTAAGTGCAACCTTAATTTTCGCAGTTCATGCAGTATGACGTTAATACATATTAATCATAAGCTTCTCCACCACACTTATCCCTCGATCTCACTCTTGCTTCCACCCCCCTCCCAAAAAAACAAACATAAAATACATTTATTTTTCTCTTCAACATCCCCTTCTCTCAGTGTTTATTTCAAATATTTTCCGTAAATCTATTATCACAAAATAAATATTTTTATTAGAAATAGTCTATCCATGAAAGGTCTCATCTCTATAAAGTATGAAATATCCTATCCGTGAAAAGTCTTCTATAAAATGTCAAAATGTCATGCATCGATAAAATATCCTGTATGACTTCCGATCTCCTGTCTCCCCCCAACCTTGATTCCCCTGCTTATTCAAGCCCTGTACTGGATCTTCAGCCCACAGACCATGCCAAGCCAACTGCTAAGAGCCCTGTGATTGGTTGAGAAATAAAGGTAAACGAACCCTATTCTAGTTTCAACGAGTATACCATGTTATAGTTAGATATTACAACTATAGATGTCTCTACATTTAATCTTTATAGGTTAAGCTATAGCACAAATTCTAGCACAAATAGTCATCATAAAACATTTCAACAGTAAAACTCTCCACAGACTCTCTTTTGAACATCTGAATATCTGATATTAAGATATATTGATGTTAACCCATTATATATTATTATTGTGGATATACAATCACTCGCAAGGCTGACTAACGGACTCGTAACAGATTTATTTTAGTATGGCACATATTAAATGGCTTCATGTATTATTTGAAACCCTGCTTTTCAGGGTAGCTAAAAGTAAATAGTAATATACAAGATAAATTTACCTAGATTTTGAAGGACTACTTGATAGGTTGATAATTCTAGAAAGAACTAAGGATTTGCTAAAAAAAGGATAATAAAAACAATATTTAGGCCGCGATTGGGAGGAGTAGGGTTTGGACAGAGAAATAAACCTTTTAATTTACATTTTTATTTCTTTAGCCTGCAGATATAATTGGTGCATATAAGAGCATTTTATGAAAAGTGTTTATGAAACAATAATTAACCTTTAAAATCTTCCTTTCTTGTTTGCTAAGTGTCATTAAGGTGCATTATGTAAAAAGTCATCAATAACATAAAACACTTCTTTTAATTTTTATATATGTAGAATCCCAAACCACTATCAACCAATGTTCACAATGTTGGGATTGGACTTGGTTTGGGAAAATGTGTAAATAGTTGTTTGCGGATAACAAGAAGATTCTTAAGATGAAATGACACACAACAGATTAACTCCGTCTCAAAAATCAATAACAAAGAGATTCTCTTTATTTCCTGAAAAAAATACAAACATTGATAAGGTGTATAAATGTTAATATTATAATGAATTGTTTATAATGAAAAAATTCTTACGATCTAATAGCTGAAGACAGAGGGTTAATAATAGTTGGACAGTACTAAAACGTTTTAAGTTTCTGAAATAAATGACAGTTTATAATTATATTAACGAAAGTCACTAATTCTGGGAGAGAGGAGATTGGGTTGAAATTGTTTGATTTGGCCGTGGCTGTCAAAGACGACTTTACAATGGGTGTTTGTTGTTTAGGGTCAACAACAGTGTTCTCCATTTTCTTCTTGATCGTGCATCTTCCATCATGTTAGGCAAATTTTGAACCGAGGGGGTCCATAATGAAATAAACCATAATGTCAAGTAACTGAGTTCCTGCCACAAACTCTGATTCTCCAATTCCTTTATATTTGCAAACCAATGTCTTATTATTTTGAATACATCGAAAGAATTCATCAAATGTCGTATTCTTCACTTTCTTATAATGGAATGTTGCAGATATTAAGTTTTTTAATTAAATGATTATATAGAACTCTTTAAAACTGTTCCTGCATATTCACGGCTTTTTATTTATTTTCGCAAATACTGAAATTTACGTAATATAGTATAAAACTCATTGAGAAATTGTCAAGACGACATTTGATAAATTCTTTTGATGTATTCGTTATAAAGGGTTTCACTGTAGTTGTGTAAATTTTAAGCTAAGAATTCTGTAAGATCAAATTGTCCAGGTTTGAAATATTAACGGTTTACACTATTAGGTTGCAAAGATATTAGGATTAGAAATATTGAGTTTGTGTCAAAAATTCAATTGCTTTGTTTAGAGTTTAATTTGAGAATACAAACATCCTTTTTTTGTCGGCTTTTCAGATTTTTTTTGTATGATTTTACTGCTATATATATATTAATGGATTTGGAATATTATTTTTGAACCTTAGAAAAAAAAAAAACTTTTTCAGGAAATTACTTTTTTATAGTTATTTGTTCCCGAATTATTTGATAACTTACCGTCGAAACTCTAAACCAATAAGGAACCGGTGCATATAGATTTAATAAATAGCAAGAACTGGTTGAACTACGTACAGAGTTAATTGAACTACTTCTCTTGTCTTGTGGTGCTGACTCAAGTTAAAGAGAAATGCAGTTCAACTTAGTCAATGTTGTTAAACTACTTCCAGCTATTTAAATCTGATCACCTCCCCAACAATTGACAATACTTGGTAATCATGCGATGCATAACTTTTTTTTTATAGTTGAAGAGAAATAGTATTTGAAGATCATTCACCAGCAATTCATGTTCTTGCGTTCAGTTAAAAATTACGTTTAATCCTAAACATTAAATATTTCATAGGAAAATGTTATAAATAATAAAAACATTGCAAAAGTGTTAAATCTTCTAGAAAATATACACGTTCTTCTCTTTTTCATAAAGGAAAAAACATATTTGTTTGAAATATATGTACCGAGGCCGAACTTAAAGAATTTGAGCCGCGGCTGAAATATGGTCGGTTCCACTTAAAATTGCATTTAATGTTTCAAGATTTAAGCCGGCGTTTAATTAAACCGTTTTTGGCGGATTTGAGACGCGGCTCAAATTCATTAAATCTGGACTCTGTTCATTTAATTAATTTAATTGGGGTTTAGGATATTCTAAAAAAGTTTTTAGATTGCAATGAAACTCAATTTTCTAAACGTATGAACAAAGAGAATAGAATATATATTCATATTCTCTTGGCGTATGAATCTTTTAAACGTCTCATCTCAATATAATTTGATATTTTAGATTTTAGTCAGAAACATTAAAAGTTTTAAATAAAAATAGCTTCAATGAACTATTATTTGTACTATTTGTAGCATATAGTACTAGGCTTTCATTTCTATTGTGAAGATGATCTCTTTGTGAAACTAAACGCAAACAAAAAATGTCGTTGATTTTCAAAATTTTCAAAAATATAATTTTGATGGAGGAAAATTTTTAAAATTCGATCATACATGAAACTTGCTTGGGGTCACGCGAGGTTCCAACATAATTTGGGCCAGATCGGTTCATCGGCCTGTCCAATCAAAGTTCGGGAACCCCTTGACCGATATGGCTCAAATTTAGATTGGGGATTTGAGTAAAACCACATTTGGAAAATTCTTTGTGGGTTTAATGTTACAGGGAGAACTTAGTTTTCAGGCAAAGCTGGGTTCCCAAGGCAGTATAAAATAAATATTGATTCATGATTGTATACTTTGACAGGCCTAATAATATAAAGAAATATAATTAATTTCATGTTGAAAATATTTAAAGCCAAGGTCATGTACAAAATTGATAGTCGTGGAGGGGGGGGGGGGGCGGCAGAAAGCGTTCTCCAGGACACACTGCAATCAAGCACTTACATTAACGGCGCTTGATATATTAGCCTGTTCTAGCCGAAGTAAGAAAAAAAAATTTAATGATTTGCACTATTATCAATATTCAACTGTTCATTCGCTGCCTTTGAAAATATTTGGCTAGAATTCAAACTGCGTTAACAAAGCATATTAAAACAATAGCACAAGGAAACTGCTTTGATATTTGTGTTGAATATAAGGCAGATTGTTTACACTTTATTGCCGCGGATTATGTTAAAGTAGAAAATGAAAAGATTAAGAAAGAAAACATAAAAGATGAATTTGTCAAAGATGAGAAGGAATTTATCTTTAAAGAAAAATAATGGGAAAAAGACCCTTTAAATTGGGTCTCAAGTAGTTTTCATTTATATAAACATTCACACCTATTTCAATTTTAATTTTTCGTTTGTGATCAATGATGTTTGTTTTGTATCAAATTAAACAATAATACAGATTTATTGCTAAATCTTATTTTAAGTTAAAATTGGGGAAACATCGAAACAAGAAATACAAGAAAGGTTCAAATGTCCAATATACATATTTTTCAAATGTATATATTTTGTTTAATAATTAAATGTACATTGTACAAGTATATTGTTTACAATAAAAAATACATTTGTTTTATAATTCAGTAATCATAAATTTTCTTTTCTAATAATTTCAGCAAGACAAGGGGCAACATACCGATCTACCTAAAATTAAAGTTATCATAAAATGCAATAAAATTCTAATCTTCTTGAGATTGACTATAGCTTGATCTGTGCATATAGGTTGTCACAAATAACATAGGAATTAGGCAAGCACTTCTATATCGTGTACGTAGCATTTTTCACAGTTAAAACAATGATTACCGAAAACTATTAGCCTCGGAATTTCCCAAACGTGGTCTACCCATAGATAAATAAATAAACATAGATAGCTTATGTACGTAAAATCACCAAGAATTGTACAGTCCGCGAAATCATGCTTTTAGGGGTCAAAGTGTACTTCAATGATAAGCGGGGTGGTTTGGTGTTTTAATGGATTTCATAATTATTAAACCACTCAGGAGTGAATTTTATTTTGAGAATATCAATTTATCATATTGACGAGAACTGAAGAAGGACTCGAGAAGGACTAAACTAACTTAAATTTCTCTCTATACGGAACTCATGTACACCACAAGTACTCAAAGATATAAGAACAGCCAATGTTCACAACCGACCTAGTTAATCTACAAAATAGGAATATCTTTAAAACATCTCTGTACATTTATATCTTTCAAGATGAAAAATGTCGTCTTATGCGCAATCTATCTTTATCTATGGGTCTACCATTCTTGCAACGTCAAAATTGTCTGAGTTATTGAGAAATTTGTCCATATACTTCACTATTATTAAATTACAACAAAATTGGTTATAATTCCCGTGTTTATTAGGACAGCTTCTACGTTTAAAACTAAACAGTTTTTTATCATAAATAATTAAAAACGTTTTCCTTTTTTGGTTGTGAAAGACGACATTTTTTACGCACTTAAATGTTTACCTCGGTTTTAAACTTGTTCATTATCATCCCTTGATACCGTTTTGTGTCCAGGATAAACGGCAAATCCTAAATATATAAAAAATGCTGGTTAAAACTAGTAGCAACTAGTAGATTTTATAACCTTGTTAAAGTCAGATTTTATATTTTATATTATAAATTTTATTTTAGATTTTATGACATTTGACAGATTGTAAAATTCGTCTTAAATACAGGTGTTTTTATTCGTTTGTTAATTGGGATATATCATTTTGAAAAATGTTATCAGTTCACAGAAAATTAAGCTTATTCTGTTCTTTCGTCTTACTTTACGGTTAATAGTTTTAGAAAACAAATTAAAAAAAAACTTCCTAGATTTCAAAACTGTATTTTGTTTAAGTTTGCTTTTGTAAACTTTGCAATATCTCTATCTTAAAAATGAAATATCAAAGGTTTACGACATTGGGTTCCAAAGATATAGGGATTAAAAAATAAGAGTTTGTGGCAAAGACTCAATTCCTTACTTATTTCTTACGTAGATGACTAAAATTAACCCAAAGAAAATAATGTTTAAAGAATTATAGGTCGTTATTAATTGTACTACAAGCACGCGTGTTTCAAGAGAATCTCCATTCAAAGATGGACATGTCCATTGTCCAATTCCCAACAGTACCCTGGAAACCTTTATCTGATCAATATTGTGGAAGAAATTGTCGTTTTTTTAGGTTAAAAACTGCTTACTTATGATCATTCCTAACACATGTTTTTCTAAAGTAGAAATGCTCATTATGCACGTTACTTTAGTGGAGAAATCACAATTAAAAATTATAATTTTTCAAAATCATAAGCATTAATAATTAATTAATACTGATCAGACAAACCTTTTGAGGGTAACATTGTGAATCAGGCATTGTCATCTTTGCATGGAGGGTTACTTGAAATTACGCTTACAGTCTCTTTAGTATCATCTTTTGTGGGATTTCAAAATCACCTCCAGGGTTAAAACACAAATCCAATTCCTCCAAACTCCATGACATTTCACCTAGCAACAATCAATTTCTTGTGTTCCAAATAAAATCGTAAAAGGTTGACAAAGTGGAAGTAATGATCGTTTTTTTTTAAATAAATGAATAAAAATGATTATACTCTAAGGATTTGTATGAATTTTAAGCATTGTTCACGTTTTTAAATAACATAAAAAAAGTAGATAACGCTTCAATTGCTCAGAACTTTTCAGGGACAAAGGAAAAGTTTTAAATTATCATTTAACGTTCTAGTCTTTTTTTCTTAAATGAAGTTTAATTTTATTTTTAGGTGGTCTTAGAGAATTGTGGGAATTGTTAAAAAATGATTTCACTATCTAGTTTCCTAAAATGATTTCACTATCTAGTTTCCTAAAATGATTTCACTATCTAGTTTCCTAAAATGATTTCACTATATAGTTTCCTAAAATGATTTCACTATCTAGTTTCCTAAAATGATTTCACTATCTAGTTTCCTAAAATGATTTCACTATCTAGTTTCCTAAAATGATTTCACTATCTAGTTTCCTAAAATGATTTCATTATATAGTTTCCTAAAATGATTTCACTATCTAGTTTCCTAAAATGATTTCACTATATAGTTTCCTAAAATGATTTCACTATCTAGTTTCCTAAAATTCTAATTTCCAACCGTTTTCTGATAATTCCAAAGAGTAAGTCTGACATCAGAATTAAGTCTGAAAAAATAATAAAAAAATCATTAAATACTTAAGAAAAATGTACAGCTCACCTAATATCAATATTCTGTTCAACTGTCCACTTGTTTCTCTCAAAATGGAGTCTAGTAATTCTACCCAGGGTTTGGAAAACATACTCTTCCGGCATATTGGAATCCCTTGAATATAGTTGTTTTCAGAACTTTTTCCTATAATTTGTCATTTAGTCCATTTTTAGCCGTTTTATATACATTGTCTTTGTATTATATACCTGGAATTAATTTATAATCTAATTTTCCAAATATGAAACAATAATAAAAAGTAGCCCTATTCCTGCCAATTCCAAAATGTGGTCTGCCTTTATTGTGAATTTAAAATTACCAGGGATATATATATACATGTAAAGTCGTCTGATTAACTGTCAACTAATTCCAGGTCTGTCTGGTTATGGCTACAGTTCATAAAAATAAAATAACAAGACATAGTTTTAAAAAAAAACTTTTTGAGCTCGAATTCAGATTAAAATACGGGTTTTTAAAGCGTGATCTAAACTTTATCTTTAATTGATTTAAATTAAAAATACTATGATTAAATAATTTAATTACCTGCTCCAATCTATAAATGATTTTGCTACAGGGTGATTTATGAAAAAACTTGTCCAATTTCTAGCCATAACTACGGTACGCAACCCTGTACGATTTATATAGAAATATATTAGCAATAAAACTTGTATAGTTTCTAGCTTTAACTACGGTACGTAACCCTGTACAGTTTATATAGAAATATTTTAGCAATAAAACTTGTATAGTTTCTAGCTTTAACTACAGTACGCAACCCTGTACAGTTTATATAGAAATATTTTAGCAATAAAACTTGTATAGTTTCTAGCTTTAACTACGGTACGTAACCCTGTACAGTGGACTTTTGTCTGGACTTGAAAACTTGTCTGAATAAAAAATGTAGCTTTTTAATTATATCGAAAGTGCTTCAAATTCAGATTTTTCTATAGGTACAACAGTGTACCTAATACTTATACAAATACAAAAGGACTACCTTTGAAAATGGTTAGATTAAAAGGAGGCTCTTTCCTATAAGAGATTCAACCATAAAATTTTTTTAATATTAAGATTATATTATAATTTTAAGAAAAGGTTGATTAAATGATTTATTTTGACTTAATTAGTGAAAAATTGTGTTTGATCCTTCGAACTTTAATTAATTGATTGATTGATTGATTGATTGATCAGTTGATCTGAATATTCCTGAGAATCTTGGTTTTACTAATTGGAGTTTCATCCTTAGCTTTGTCAGGATTATAATTCGGTCTCACTAGCTCCCATCTAAAGAGAAATTATCAAAATAAATATTATCCATTTTATTCATACTTTGTTAGAAGTTATCCTTACTTTGTGATCTAAATTACCGGAAGTAATTTGATCTCAAATCAGAACCTGTAGATATTTGTTAATCTTTAATGCTCGACTTTAATATCTAATGTTGGGAGTTTTACATTTAAGGATCAATTGCTTGATCTTCCAATCTAAAGATATCCAATATCCATGCTTGGTATGAATTGACCACTGCAGGATATCGAAGAGAAATTAATCTAATCCATAGATATGCATAATTGATGGAGACCAGTAATTCCCAAGATTCACAACAAAAAAGTTCTGACTTCTGAGCTGAAAATTTATAATGGTGGACATCAAGATTAATGCTTAAACTCCTGGTTTTACCAAACCCCAGATTATCTTAATACGCATTCGATATCCAAGAAAGAAGTATAAAATTCAACCATGCAATCAGCGTATCATGTTGAGATGTACTCTTTAACTTTTAAAAAACCGTTTTTTTTTCTGGTGTTAATAGTATCAATTGAACTAAACATCAATTAAATAAATGTAAGTTTTGGATTAATGTTTGTTAAGACTCATTTAAAATGATGATAGTCCTAAAATGTTATAAAATATATTTTTTAATAAGTTCATATTAACATATTAAATTCATATTTGCTTAAATGCTCTAAATGCTGGCTTGTGAACAGCTGACTTTAATTCAATCGAATATTAGTTCAATGGTCATAGAATTGTATCATAGATAAATAAATAAACATAGATAGCTTATGTACGCAAAATTACCAAGAATTGTACAGTCCGCGAACTCATACTTCTAGGGGTCAAAGTGTACTTCAATGATAAGCGGGGTGGTTTGGTGTTTTAATGGATTTCATAATAGAGTGTAAAATAACTCCAGGAATGAAACTATTTGAACAACAATATTTCACTGAGCAATATATCATATTTACGAGAACTGAAGAAGGACATGAGAATGACTAAACTAACTTAAAATTCTCTCTACAGAACTCATGTACACCACAAGTACTCAATGACATAAGAACAGCCAATGTTCACAACCGACCTAGTTAATATGTATAATAGGAATATCTTCAAAACATCTCAGTACATTTATATCTATCAAGATGAAAAATGTCGTCTTATGCGCAATCTATCTTTATCTATGAATTGTATCTGTAATTGATATCAAACGTAACTTTTATACAGTAGGGATATCCAAAAAAGAGGATTAAGGATAAAATCAAAAGTGTGTACATTGGATACTCAGATTAAGCGATCAGGATTAAGGATATCTCATTCTAAAGTTTTCAGCTCTGTTTGATTTGGGATTTGTAGAAAAATGCAAGGTTTACCGAGTTCTCCTATTCACAGGTATTTGGTCCTTCTGTCCTATCTATATGGTTGGCAATTGCGCAATGCCCGGTTTAAATTTTATTACCACATATCAGACCAAAAAAATGATGGGGCGAAAAAAAAGATTATTAGAGTAAAAAATAGATATCAAATCATAATTACAATGCCAAAAATCTCCTGGAAATTACAATTTTCTCCAAATACAAATAGAAAACTAAATATACCTGTGTTTAAGTTTTCTGTAGTATATTTTATCAGTCATCTTAATTGAGCTGAAAACAGTTGAAATTAGATAAAAATTGCTTAATGACACAATGCTTGCATAACTTCATACATACCTACCCCTTGAATAAAAAATCTTTAATTAAAAGATTTTTAATTCTTCACCTAAAAATTCCTTTTTAATTTTTACTTAGTTAAAAAATAAGAAGTTTTTCCTAGGATATTAGTGGAGGACAAAAAGACATTAAAAAGGCCTTTCTTGAAAAAAATGTTGCCTTCAAAAATATTTTTGATTAATTTTTCACAGGTTTTGGTTTGATTTACCAAGCCGACCTATTTGCAACTAAATCAACATGACTACATGACAGTACACCGAATGTATGTACCTCATGTACGGAAACTGTGGATTGGAGAGTCTGTACAATTCACATATATGTAAATATTTTGTACATTTAAAATCAAAGTAACAACCCCTATTTAAAATAATAGTATTTTTCATGTTGATTTTTGGTTTAAAAAAGTATTTTTTTTAATTACTTACTAATTGTTTATTACAAGCTGAAAGATTCAAACGATCAAGTGTGGGTAAAGAGGGTAAACGGCGGAAGCTAGTCTAATATAAAGTTGTAATCTCTGTTTGTTTGTTTAGATGTCGGATCAGAACTCATGAACCCCTTGACATTGATTTGCCTGAAATTTTAATTTAGGAACTCGGGAGAACCACGGCCGGGCATGTTCCGAGCTTGGTTTTGAGATTCTTAGTTGAGATAATCAACTTTTAGATAAATTCGTAATTTACGACCAAGCCCGGGTAAACGGCGAGAGTAAATACGAGTACCCTGGGCAATGCCATGGTTTCTCAAGCTAGTTATGTTATAATTAAGATATTTAATATATTCCTGGTAAATTGTTTTATTGATTGTCTAGGGAGTTCAGATCCAGCTAAGTTCATAAAATACATCCATCCAGGTCTTCTATAAAAGTAACAGGGGTAAAAACTCTTTAATAAACACCCCCCAAACCCGTCATCAGGGAAGGGAGAAGGGTAAATAATTTCCAAACCCATGTTGGAAAAAAATTAAAATTGATTTTTAAATTCTTATTCTAAAATTAGTTTATTATAGCATAAAATGTAAATTTTACTAATAGAAACTAAATTTTTAAAGAAAAGCCTAAAATCCAAGTTAAAATGTCTTTATATTACCTTAAAAGTTCTTCCATGCATTTCAGATCAGCCTAAAGATAGTATGAGGTTATTTGAAATAAATATATTTTTACACAAGGAACCTCCAATTCAGAGATTAGAGAGTAACATAGATCAATCCCTCGGTATGAATTTTGTCAGTCTCTCTCAGCCTGAAAAGGAGTTCAAAGTGTACAAATGATGTAAATCACAAATTATATGCAGTAGAGTACATTAATACAGATTGTTCCCTAGACTATCTATTTCAATTTCGAATTTTTTAAAGCTGTTAAATAAACTTTATAAAAGGAATTAGGTGAATAAAAAACATCATTTGATTTATAGTTATAACGGAAATCATCGTTTGTGAAGTGAAAAGCATAGATTCTATGTGAAACGATCATTGGTCAACAGGCGCGTACACAGGATTTTAGCTAGGGGGGGGCAAGCTTTTTTTGCCCCCCCCCCTGGAATTGTTTTGTTCAAAAAGTCAATTAACACCATAAAAATACACCAAAAAGACTACATTTTTGGGTGTTACTTAGCTTATAGAGTCTAAAAATTATACCTTTGCTCGGAAAACTAACTTTAACTTTTTAACTTTATTTATCACTTAACTCCATCACAGCTAACTAAATCAATATATTTTTAATCAATCTTTCACTTTTCAGACATTTTCTTTTTAAAACTCTGCAACTTCTAAACTTTTAATAAATAACATTTAATAATAAGCATGTTTGTCAAATTTAAATAAATGACTTTGACTTCATGTCACATTTGAGCTTTATGTTATGTAGACAATTTGTAAAAGGAGTAGGGGGGGGAGGGGTCCAAAAATGAAAAAAGTGTTTTGCTTTTAAAGGAGTTGATATAAATTATAAGACAAATTACAAAATAAATCAAAATGTGGGTTAAAACAAATATTTGCATAGGACAAAAAAATTTAAATTTTAGCATAAATAGTTTACGTTTTAAACATATTTAATGTAATTACATAACCAATTTCAAATTCTTTTTTTATGTATTACGTAAATGTTTATTATAAATTTCTCGCCTTCTGGTTATGAACCTACTCCGTGACTGACGGAGTGTATTTATGAGTGTACTCCGAAGGGCGATATTGGTAAAAGATGACCTAAGTAAGATCACATACATTTATCTTATTCAGTTTGAAGTATCTTAAAATCTTGTATTAAAAGTGAATTTAGACAAATCCTTAGTCTTTGTCATTGTCAGGTGTTACTTTTTAAACGTAATTTTCTTTTAATTTTGTATTTTCCAGGGAGGGGGGGGGCAGGGCCCCCCTGGAACTCCCAGGGGGGGCAAGAGGACTACTGCTCCCCCTAGGTATGCCACTGTTGGTCAATTATGAAACCAGCCTATTTCATAATTTGGTTTTCATATTAATTTTAGATTTTCTATAAGATTATGTTCCAGGGCCTTTTGGGCACAAATATGCGAAGTACACCTTCAGTATGGAAACAGTACAACAAAATGGCCGTTTTACACATTTTTTTTAGTAAATTCCACTCTAATATATATTCTATTCTCTTTGGGCATCACACTTAACCGAATTTCTGAACCGCACAACTTTTTTTCTTCCGAAAGCTCAAATATATTTTAAAAAACTAAGTAAGTTTAGAATAGGTAAAAAGGGTAATGTCCACATTTCCATACAAAATGGCAGGGGGGCTTATACATTCATCATGCATTTTTCAAAAAAATAAATGGTGTGAGGAGCCAAGAAAATTGGTTAACTACTTTTCCTTATTTGATAGGAGCAAGCACATATTTTTCCTATCCCACTATTTTTAACCTTTTTTTTAACTATCCCCCCCCCTTGAATATTCCACTAAATAGATGAATCATTGCACATGAATTTATCTTCAAATAAAAATAACTTTCATGTTATAGTTTTTGAAATTTTGATGGAAAATAAAAATGTCAAAATGTCTGAATTTAACAACTGAATTCTGATTAACGACCAACTTTTATTTGATTCATAATTTAGAGGTGTAGACTGTAAAGTAACATCTGTATTAAAAACTAGGGTATAAATAATAATTTAGATTTTTAATATGTATACTTCTACAACAACTCTTGTCGTAAGTGTTTTAACATATATACATCTCCATAAGCATTTTTATCCAATCAAATTAAATCAAATATATATTTTTGTCCCAGGGGCAGCCTCCCACTGGAGAGTCAGTTTTTGCAATGATGCTGACAAAAATATTAAGTTGCTAAACATAAAAAATTACTCTATTTAAAAAAAATTTAATCTTAAAAAGTTTTTACTAAAGATAATTAAAAAATTGTACAAATCTATTTTAATAGTATTACAGTATTTCAATTTTTCCCACTTTTTAATTCTGTCTGATATTTCTGGTTTGTTGCAAGGAAGGTTTTTAAATTCAATATCTCAGCTGCTGAACTAAACCCACAAACAATTATGAAATAATATCCCTTGCAAGTTTTCTGGAATTTGGAGGTTTGTAGATTGTTAAATGTTGATGACTTTACTAAATATAAATCTATACACAATTAATGTGTATGTTTCCTAGCGATAGTGCTTTGCAGGGTGATGAAAGAAAAAGGGATACTGACCCAAATGTGGAATTTTGAAAATTTGTAGGACCCAACTTCAGAATCTCCACATAAAAATAATGACAAATGTGATAAAAGGAGTTTAGGCTAGGAGTAGATTATCAACAGTTTGACTCTTGAAATAGATGTTAATGAACATCTTGGCAGTACTTGTAAATGATACTTGTACTTGATGCTTCTCCAAATTAGGTAGGTCCGTGGTTGATGGATATTTACATGTTTCCCATGGGTTGTGCGTTTTACTTAAACACTGGCTCACCAGACCTGTTTCTAAGAAGTGCAAGTCAAACTTTTCCATAGCAAGCCTAGACCCAGAAAGGTAAAACACTTCTGTTCTCCAGGGTAACTTGGATTTCCCATTTTTCTCTGTCTCCCTGTACTCCTAGTTTCTGTTAGAATTGCCTCTGCAAAGACCTAAGTCCTGCTTTGAGGAAAACTAGAGTTGAATCAGAAAATTACTCTATAAAACCAAGAAAATCTGTTAAATTGTCTACATATTTTGGTTTTCAACAGTGAATTTATTTGAAATTTTTTTCTCAATTTTAGGATCCATGGTTTCTTATTTGTTCTGAGGAAAATAAAATTATTTTAATCCTGGAGGCGGCGGCCAAACCAGTTTTCTTGAATTTTTCGTGGATATAAAAAAAATATTTACTTAACATTTTAAAGTAAAATAAAGTTTTATCTCCAAGGAATATTAAAAATATTATGTTTAGGAATAATGAAGATTCTGGTCCATCTACTAGTCCTGACTACCATTATCTCCATGGGGTATTCAAAATATTATGTTTAGGAATAATGAATATTCTGTTCCATCTACTAGTCCTGACTACCATTATCTCCATGGGATATTCAGCATGCCCCAAGGAAAGGATTATAATATATTTTAAACTTTGTTCCAACGGATTATGCGGGGTTACCCACTGTAGACGTAATTCAAATAGTGCCATGCCTGATTCCCTTTTAACATTTTAGGAGTATATTTTTTTAAATAAAAAAATAAATTATATTATACTTCTACTCCAAGAAATGTAACCCGGGTGAACATTGTATCAACGATAGGGACTGCACCTGTACAACTTATAATATTAATGGAGCTCTCTCTAGCAGCTGTGACCAATTTGGAATGGTATGCGCGAAACAGACCCCTAAAAGTCCACAACGTTGTGTTAAGTTCTGGGGTGGTTAAGACACTTGACACTGGATACTGGATACTGGATACTGGATACTGGATACTGAATACTGAATACTGAATACTGAATACTGGAAACTGGATATTGGATACTGGACACTGCATACTGGATACTAGACACTGGACACTGGACACTGGATACTGCACCAAAATATTGAAAAGATTGGCATTGTAATATTAGTAGCCTTTCAGCTTTTTTATAACTATTTTGGCATTAAATTTTATGTCATTGGAAAATTAAATACATTTGAGATTTCAAAATTTAATAAACCGATGAATAATAAAAAAAATTTTTTTAACGTTTTTATTAAAAGATCTCCTGACATTTTGTTCGTTTTGTCAAACTAACGAAAGCTTAGATTTCGGGAGCCATTTGACAGAATTTTGTTTCTTTGCCACCACTGTTTTGACTCTAGATTTTATGAATTTAAAGTACCTACCGTCGGTTTAAATTTGAATCACAGATTCACATCCTTCTTTAATCTTTAAATTTGAACCGGTTCAACGACTTTGCTCAAATTAAATTTCAAAATTCAGTTTCTTAGCTGTACATAATTAAAATACATCAATACCTCTAGTACTGAGAAATGTGCCCAGTAGATAGGAATTGAGTTTTTTAAGACAAAAATATTATTTTTTCCAAATCTAAAAAAAGAAAATTTGAATTACAAAAATAAAGTTGTTATCAATCATACCTATTGTTGTAGCAGTTTACTAATAAATTCACAATATCTTTTACCCCGTCTTCGGCTGTAGGATCTATAAAAAAATCCTAAAATTTGCTTTCTGATGCTTCTTGATACAACAAATATTTTTTTGTTAACTTTGTTAAAAAATATCAGAAGTTTCAGAAAAATGCATGTCCAAATAATAATTTTATCTAATTTATCAAGAGCTATAAAGTTTTTAAGAGAGAAGATAATTTCTTAGTTATTAGCAATTCAAAGCTTTTGAACTAAACTAATCTAATCTAAACCCTCGGGTTTATCATTGAATCCGAAGAAGGTTTAAATTTCCATTGGTTTAATTTTTCTATAAGTAAATGCTACATTGAAAAACAAGAATTTAGTTTTTATTTGCTCCTGTTACTGTACAGTGTACTTACCTAGATGTATACAGTAGGTATGGTAGGGTTTATAGATAGTACTCAGCAATAGTTCAAACTGTCTAGGATCACTGAAACTTAATGAATTAGTATTTTCAGACACTTGAGACCGATTTTAAAGCATTTTAAACGCGTGGCTGATCCACCAAAAACCGGTTTCAATTGAGCGCCAGCTCAAATTTTGCACCCCTTAATACAGTTTCATTTTTGAGTGGAACCAACCATTTTGAACCGCGTCTCATATTTGAGCCGCGGCTCAAATTCTTAAAATTCGGCCTTTGAAAAGGTAAGCCTTAGTATTCATGAGTATTAATTAATTTGATCAAACAGAATTCTTAGTTGAAATACGACATTGGGTTGCATAGAGATAGGGGTTAGAAAATCAGAGTTTGTGACAAAGACTCAGTTCCTAAATCTGAGACAAAAATGTTCTTTTTATTAAAATGCAACCTATTTAAGATCGTTCGTACGATGCAAACTAACGTTGTACTGCAGTGTGACTGTACCTGTACTTCCTGTACAGAGGTACAACTTGGAGGGGGGGGGGGGTGACCGCCTTTTTAGTAAGATTGTATACTTGTAAGATTTATGGCAAAAAATGTTTTTTCCCTGTGGCGCGTTTCATCTATATACAGTATCAATATCGTTTTGTCTGTTTGTTTCATCTATATAAAGTATCAATCTCCTTTTGTCTGTTTGTTAGTCAGTTTGTATGTCCGATCATACCTCGCGAACTCCTTGACCAATTTGCCTCAAATTTTGATTGGGGAACTCGGTTGAACCACAGGAATAATCTTTGCTTGGTCTTAAAGTTGTAAGTTGACTACGTCGCTTGAATTGTATAGTACAAATTTAGTGTCCTGGGAACACTGGGGTTCCAAGCTAGTTCAACATATAATTGTACAACATATGTACAGAATTATTCTTTAACTGTCAGTACAGAATACAAAATACCTGTAAACCTGAATTGCAAATGCAATTGTATCTGGACCCTCAGAATCATCAACATTAGTGCCATCTTCAAGGACTTCTATAGGTATTATGTCCATGCAACTCTAGAAGCAAACATGGAAATTGATGTATACTTGGTACATAGATGCAGTACACTTGGTACAATGATGTAGTACAGTTGTTGCATGGATGCAGTACACTTGGTACATAGATGCAGTACACTTGGTACAATGATGTAGTACACTTGTTGCATGGATGAAGTACGCTTTGTACACAAAGATGTTGTAATCTTGGTGAAAATAGATGCAAATAAATATATCTATACTTGATTCTTTTATCTGAAATAGATAAATAGAATAGATAAATTTAAAGAAAACTTCCATTTGAAGAGTGGATGTCAAATTAAAAACGGTACCATAGTGAATCGGATATGCTAATCTATAAAAGGAGGGTCACTTATAATTACATTTACAGTCCATTGAAGCGAAATTAGTTTTATTGGTTAAATGTATTGTTAATTATTGTTTAAAAATATCTTTATTATATACAGGGTGTCCCATGAAACATGACAGTTGGTGAATAGTTTTGAATGTCTTCTTCCATATATGTATTAGACGTTAAAGACTTTATGCAGTTTATTTTGTTTTAAAAAATCGTTTACACAAATATATTTAACTTTGAAATCCAAATTATCTATAATATGACTGCCATTGAATATTTTGTTTATCATTTTCTTTGGTATCAAATAACTTATTGTGGAAGAAGACATTTTAAACTATTCACCAACTTTCATGTTTCGTGGGACACCCTGTATTTCCAGAAAAGCCTGAAAATAAACCTGAGCTCTAAGTTTAACTGATTCGTCTGAGTAGAGTTTATCTTCTAGTTCAAACCTATCCTGACATACTTCTGGATTCAGGATACTACAGGTCTAAACATTTTTATCTTCTTATAGTTTAAACCTTTCCTGATATACTTCAGGATTCAGGATACTACAGGTCTAAACATTTTTAAACCTTTCCTGATATACTTCAGGATTCAGGATACTACAGGTCTAAACATTTTATCTTCTTATAGTTTAAACCTTTCCTGATATACTTCAGGATTCAGGATACTACAGGTCTAAACATTTTTATCTTCTAGTTCAAACATTTTCTGACATACTTCAGGATTCAGGATACTATATACAGATCTAAATATTTTTATCTTCTAGTTCAAACCTTTCCTGATACACTTCAGGATTCAGGATACTACAGGTCTAAACATTTTTATATTCTAGTTCAGACCTATCCTGACATAGTTCAGGATTCAGGATACTGCAGGTCTAAACATTTTTATCTTCTAGTTCAAACCTTTCCTGATATACTTCAGGATTCAGGATACTACAGGTCTAAACATTTTTATATTCTAGTTCAAACCTATCCTGACATAGTTCAGGATTCAGGATACTGCAGGTCTAAACATTTTTATCTTCTAGTTTAAACCTTTTCTGACATACTTCAGGATTCAGGATACTACAGGTCTAAACATTTTTATGTGGGACTGACAGTACAAAAATAAAATCTATTGAGAGCCACCTTCTGTATATAAATTTGGCTTGTCTGTCTGGGAGTCTGACTGTCTGTTTGTATCCAATAAACGTCAAAACGGCTGAACCGATCGGGCCCAAATTTTTTGTGTGACATCACGTGACCACAGGGAAGGTTTATGAATGATAAAAAAACATGTTCACAATTAATTTAGAAGATGGGCGCAGGCTAATTGTTTAAAATTCTACAAATAAACCCTATATTTGCTACTGTGAGAACCATTAAACTTTGGAACAGGAACACGACTTTTAGGCTTAAGATATGACTTTTAATATATAGATATATTCTAATGGATATATATGACACCGCAATTGTGCAATGTAAACAGACCCATTTTACTTATAATAATTAATTTAATAAGATTTTTAGTAAAACTATTGTTAAAATTAATTCGAAATATAAGGAAGACGATTTTTCCGACTCAAATTGCCATAGCCTTTTCTCTAGATGTTTGCGTACTCTAGATCTATTTCCTCCACGTAGTGCTCACATGTCAAACCCCGCTTCTTCTCCCCCCCCCCCTTCTACAGATACCAGCCCCGNTTTTAATGCCACTTGGGAAAACACTCGTTTTATTAAATAAATGTTAGAAATATCCATGTAGATCTCCTTTTATTTTATCATATTGACTTTTAAAGTCAATAACTATATATTTGCTTTGTAACAACATTTACATTTAATTATTGCCTTAACTTTGTGTTTCCTTTCTTGGTTCTCTCAAGGGAGAAAGGAACTCATATTGAAAATAAAAACAGTTTTCAGGAACTCTTAAATACCCGGTTGATGTGAAGGTTGTTGAGCTCCTTCTGTATATTCCTTACTCTGGAGACACAGCTATGAACCTGGGTCTATCATACAAACATTCAAAATTAAAATATCAAATTTTAAAGTGACTGTAAGCGTAATGTCAAGTGACCCTCCATGCAAAGATGCCAACGCCAGGTTCCCTTGAAACCTTAACCTGAATAAAAATGTGGTAGATGCCGTCGTTTTTCTACCTCTAAAAGTGTTTATATCTAAGAGTTTTTCTATTGTTTCTTATCAGCAAGAAATGCACAAGGCAAAGAAACTGCAAACAAAAATAAACAGTTTTAAGAAACAAAAACATCGATATCTAAAACATGCTTGATCAGAGAAAGGTTTCAATGAAACGGTTGTAAATCGGGCAATGTCATCTTTGCATTAAAAATGAAGAACAGAGTTACAAAAAACGCTGTCCCATAAACCCAACTATTCTTTTTATAGTGTTTATACGTTTACTGGTTCAATTGTTTACTAAGTAATCAACTGAAAATGATTATAAGCAAGTTTTGTTTACGTTTTCAAATAAGTTTTTCTTCCCATTTCTGATTTGTAAAATATTGTTGCAAAGAAATAAATTTAAAGTGAGAGGGGAGGAAGACCAACCTGAACATTTTCTCGTCCGAGCCACCTTTACATCCTTGTCCTTTCAATATTAGTATTTTCAACTGTCTAATCCTTCCAGAGGCCGGTCCTTCTATAGATAGTGGACGTGTAGTTCACGTACTTTGGGGGACGATAATTTGGCCGCTAGATGTCTCCCGTGAGTTATTCATGGACGGACAGAGTTTCTCACGCCATACGGTATCTGGATCATTAGCCGTACTGTGGCCATGATTTATTTGAGAAAAGGTGGCAGCACTAATCAAAGTAGCTTTCTGATTTCATTTCATAAATTAACTGCAGTGTCTTGTTTTTAAGATCCATTATGAATTTGAAAATAAATCAAAGTACAATTTCCTATGTCTAAGATAGTTTGCCGCATTCAAATCAAATTTGTAATAAGCTTTCCCTTTTTTCCGTCGATAGGGGTCGAATATGTATGTGTTTATGGTCGGACAATACTCGGACACTGATAACTCATGGAAGAACGCGTTTGAACAACACTATTTCTCCGTACATTTCACGACCAATATAGGAGACGTCAAGTTGTCGACCAATGTAGTTTATGGAAGGTACGGCCTCTGATAATACTAATATTTTTTATGAAACAGGCCACGTTTGGGCATAAATGAAATATTAAATTTTTGCAAATCGAAATATAAAGTTTCAATTTTATTAAAGTTTTCAAGCTTAGTGTCCCTAAAAATGTTTACATTTTTGACATCATTCTCATGGACTTGAAGATTCCAACATGATGTAATCATTGCAATACTTTAGTCCATCCATATTTTATGCCCTAACGTGGCCAGATTTAAAAAAAAGGTTTTATCTTCGAGAATTGGAAAATACATAATAATCGGAGGACAAGGATTCCGAGGTGGCTCGGACGAAAAAATGTGGCTCAGGCAAGAAATTGTTGTTGCTGGCCCTCCTCCCCTCACCGTGGTAGGGTCCAAAACAGGAATTGTATCTTGAACAAGGTTCACTATTGTATCTTGAACAGGGTTCACAATTCTATCTTGAACAGGGTTCACTATTGTATCTTGAACAGGGTTCACAATTGTATCTTGAACAGGGTTCACTATTGTATCTTGTACAGGGTTTACTATTGTATCTTGAACAGAGTTCACTAATGTAATTTGAACAGGGTTCACTATTATATCTTGAACAGGGTTCACTATTGTATCTTGAACAGGGTTCACTATTGTATCTTGAACAGGGTTCACTATTGTATCTTAAGAAAATTATAGGAAGCCCTGAATGTGTTACCATATTCAGATATTTTCAATTTATTCAGAAAACAAAGTTAAAAGGTAAATCTTAAAAAAATATAATTTAATAGGAGTTTAGTTTGATATAAAATGAATGAGGAATGGAGGACAGTATCATGAGAAATTTTCAGGGGGCGGAAACGTCATGTGCGTGTGTCTGTACCAAAAGAATGTGTAAGGAATACCGAACCAAAGGCGTGTTCTGTAGGTTTATGAAGTACATAAGAATCTCTGTATTTGTACAGTCTTGAAAAGTACATTTGTTTATTGTTAATTGTTTACTTAAATATAAGTTTAATATACATGTAATATATCATTTACATATTTAAGTCAACACTGTAAAGCCAAATTTTCATGCAAAGAATATGATTTGATTAAAGTTTACAATAAACTTCTCGTTATTCAAGTTTAATTATAATTTAAGACATTGTTCTGCAATTTCCTTGACTGTAGTCATGTTGTGTGTCTGTACCAAGAGAGTGTGTGTAAGATTTACCGAACTTGTCTGCAAAGCAGTGCGAATAGCTATCTCATGCCAGACCAGCGCCATTTCCTTTCCCTTTAATCCTATTCCCTGGATATTTTGATTAAAAACCAAGCAGCAGAAAATTTAACTTGGTAACTTAAAAACAGAACAATTGACAATTTTTAAACTACTCCCTTGTGTATGTGTACCGGATGATTTACTATTATTAGAAGTACGAGATATATTTGGATAACGAGGAACCATAATTAAGGGGAAATTAATTGTAGACGGAAAAAAAAGTTCTTCTCAAAACAGAACCAAATCCACCACATTCAGGACTTTTTATCTCCCTTGTTCATTATCAGAAACTCTATCAGAACCATTTTCATCTTCGACTCTTGACGAAAGCTCAAGATGATCATTTTCTTTTGTTTTGTGATTTGCTGTAAAATAGTTTAAACATGAAAAAACTAAAATGGCGGAGAAGAACAGCGGTTTCTTGCTGCTCCTCAACATGCTTTCAACTAAATATTCTAAACTACAAAATAATTTAGAATAATTGAAAAAAAACAAGTGTTAAAATGTATTCGATGCAAAGATAAAGGAAATCCCAAAAAGGTGTTTTTAACTTTAACAAAACTTAAAATAAATTAGAAATAATTTTCTTATGCTTTAGAAATTCGAAAATATGAATCATTCAAAATATAAATATTAAAATATATTGAGAAACAAACATAAATTAAGAAACACCGACTCATTGCTATACATTTAAATATCTCCGAATTCCTTTAAAAAAAGGTTATCAAGTCTTTAAGAAACTTTACGAGCCACTTGATTAAAGTTTAATAAAAGTTTTCTTCTAGAAAATGTTGACAAATAAGTTTAAACTATTTTCAGTTCTTGCCTGGTTCTTTGGATCCATATATTACCGGATTCTTAATTCAATCTAGAACTGGGATGTATATGTATTGCAGTAACCCGTCCATAGGCTGATGATGAAGGATTCTTCCAAGGCCTTCTACGAAAGTAAAAAATCATGTTAACTGTGAACACTGAACAATGAACATGGCCATATGCCACAACATATCAGCCTCTTAAATTGGGATCCAAAGTGTTAACTATTTTTTTAAAACCTGATCTGTTCATAAAATTAATTATCTCCTTCTTTTTTTAAAGTAGAAGTTGCGACTTTAATAAAAAAAATGATACAGATCTTTACCCTGAACACCTTCAATTTTTATTATAAACTCATTTTCTTCGAACTTCACTTTTAGGGGTAATCTTTTATAAGATTTAGTTTAATAGAAAGTAAATAAAACAAATTAACAAAAAAATTTATTTTCTAAAAAATGATCAGGATGAATTTTTCGTCTTCTTCTTCTTACTGCTTCCAGAACTAGTGTTCTCCTTACTCTTTAAAGGGGTTTTCTCAGGACTTTCAATCTCCTTCTTAGGGGTCTTACCCTCCTTTTTAGGAGTCTTCCCCTCCTTCTTAGGAGTCTTCCCCTCCTTCTTAGGAGTTTTCCCTTCCTTTCCTATCTGGGGAGTTGTGCCCTCTTTCTCCTTTTTAGGAGATTTACCTTCCTTTTCTTTCTTAGGAGTTATCTTTTCTTCTTTGATTTCACTTTCCGGAGTTTTCTTTTCTTTTTTCTCAGACTTTTCTTTCTTTGGAGTCACGTTTTCCTTTTCTGTTTTATCTTCTTTCTTTCCAGACTTCTTCTTCTTTTTCTTCTTCTTCTTGGACTTTTTATCTTCGCCATCTTCCATTGAGATATCTTCAACCTTATCTTCTTCTTCTTCTTTCTCATCTTCATCTTCATCTTCATCTTCATCGTTAAACTTGATTTTCTTATTTTCCCTCCCCTCGTCCTCCTCCTCATTCTAAAATATATAACAAAATAAGAACAAAGTTATTTAAAATGTAAATCTTAAAATGAAAAATTAATTATATAATATTGAAAATTATAAATTTGGATTTACTTTTCAGAATAGCTGTGAAAGTTTTGACATTTAGTGCAAAACAAAAAAAGGAGAAAGATTACTAAGAGATCTAAGATGCTTAAGTAAAAATAAGTTTTACAAAAAAATCTTGTTTTTTAGTCTCAGTTCGTTTTATTTGTCATTTAGTGAATGTCAAAATAAAAATGCATTAATAAAATAAGTTTAAAATATGTTTATATGTCATTAAATAAGAATTTTAAAATAAAAATAACGAAACAAATTTGATCAGTATTATCTTTTACCTGATTCTCGTTGACGACCTTCTTCTTCTTTTTCTTCTTGTTCTTGTTCAAGGTTTTATTCTCCTTCTCCTCCACCCGGTCATTATTCAACTTCTGATCAAATCAAATCATAAAAATATTATTCCACTCAAATCATAAAAGTATTATTCCACTCAAATCATAAAAATATTATTCCACTCAAATCATAAAATATGATTCCACTTTTGAATTCCTTTAAACTTTAAAAAATTCCAAGTATCACTTCATTTATAGAGTTGAATGTCTGATTTATAACAACAATACTCTTACAAGCTTTCTATGATCAAGTGAATGAGAACTTGCTTAAAATTGCATCTTTAGTCCCTTCAAGTTTACAGAACGATGAATATAAAAACTATTTCTTAAATATTATTTTTTCAATTGAAAATCTGTTTTTAAAATTTGTTTTCCTTTGACTCTAGTAGCTTGAAGTATGATTTAGTCATCACTCTAAATAATTTGGATTGTTTGAATCGAATTTTTAAAAATCTATATCATTTTTAAAATGTGTTTTGGTTTTATTTGAAAAAAATCCATGAATCCAAATATCCCTGGCTTCCGTTTTCAGTTTCTTGAAATCCGCGAAGTTGTTTTTAAGATCTAATCCCAGATCCGACGCTTTGTTGTTTATCTTTGCAGCGTAGTCCTTAAAATAATATAGGTTTATCCTACTTTACTTGTGCAGTAAAGGTGGTCAAAGTCTCCACTCCAGTTTTTCCCCTGAATTTAATATTTTCTCCCCCTACTTCTTGAACTAAATGTAGCTCTTTGAGTTTGAACTCCATATCTTCCCAGCCATCTTTGTTCAATCACATTTTTCGTTCTGTCTTACCTTTTTATACTTTATCCTCCCCCACAAGCTCTCTTTGACACATCAATTACTACATTTATACCCCTCCCCCCCAATGACTTTTCTACCTTTCCCATTCCTTATATCTATTCTGCCCCCCCCCTCTCTCTTTCACCTTGCATCCTCCCGCCGTATTTCACCGTCTAACTGAATACTACCTTGCACTCCTGATCGAACCAGGCCTGGTTGACAGGGAACCAATGCTTCCTGGTCATCTTGATCTTGTTCATCTTCTCTTTTACCTTCACATCAATATATATTCTAAACAACCTTTCAAACAAAAAGTTTAAGTACAATGGTCGGCGTTTATACCAATACAATGAAAACGACTTAAATATTCGTTTGATTTATAAATAAATTTTCATTTTACACCCCTGTGTGGATATTGATTTCAATTACTATCCCAACTAAAAGATTTGCCCCCAGAACAGAACTTAAATCTACAATTATTAAATGTTTGTATCTGCTTCTAATTTTGTGATCATGTGTTGCTTAATATTGTGATTATTAAAAAAAAAGTTATAAAAGAAATCATTAACAATTAATAAAAAAACGTCTCTACTAAGTTTAAAATATATTTTCCTTGAGTTCTTTAACCAGTTCTTTCATCAGCTCCTGTTCACTTTTCTGCTCAGGGTTGTTTGCTAGATAGATAATAATAATTAAGGGACTGGTCTTTATTATAAGTGAATTTAAAAATTACTTGCGCAACTCTTCTGAAGAAACATCAATCGCCGTTTTTGTCTAATATAGATTCAAGGCCTGCTCATTAAAAAAATTAGACATCTATCTTTAATGGTTAGGGTGCAAAGGAGGATTTAGAAAAGTTCAAAAAGTACGTCGGAAAAATGTAAAAAAAAAATATTTTTACTTTTGATAAATATGAACATGTGACATGTTATTACATTTCAAGGGCTTTTCAAATATATAAGTTTTAGTCCTGTAGCTTAATAAATTTAAAATTTATTAACCATTTCTGAAAACCCGCCGTTTGACTGTCCTCCACCCTACCATGTGCAATATGCATAAACATATTTGGCAAAATTTGTTCAAAACATTTGTTCATTTGATTAATCCACCCCCACGATATCTTCCACGGTTAAAATAGCACCGTTGCCCCTTTTCAACGAAAATCCCTTTAAACGAAAATGTTCTTCATATGTTTGGAAATCTTGCTTTAAACAAGAATTATTTTTGTAGTTTTTACCAAAACACCAAAAAATGCTAATTTTGTAATATAAAAAATGATAAATTACTTTTACTTTCACTTAAAATCAAAAGAACATCTAATTTTTTAAATATTACTTTTTCTTACCTAGTTTTTCATTCAAAGCAATTTCAAGTTTAGATTTTTTCTTTCTGATCTGAGTTTTAGCTGGAGCAGAGGTTTCATTTCCATCCTTAGATTCAGGTGTAGGTTCATCTTTGCTGTTAAACCTAGAAATATTCAGGTTTATACTTGCTGTTAAACCTAGAAATATTCAGGTTTATCTTTGCTGTTAAACCTAGAAATAGGTTTATCCTTGCTGTTAAACCTAGAAATATTCAGGATTATCTTTGCTGTTAAACTTAGAAATATTCAGGTTTATACTTGCTGTTAAACCTAGAAATTTTCAGGTTCATCTTTGCTGTTAAACCTAGAAATATTAAGGTTTATCTTAGCTGTTAATCTAGAAATTTTCAGGTTTATCCTTTCTGTTAAATCTAGAAATATTCAGGTTTATCCTTTCTGTTAAATCTAGAAATATTCAGGTTTTTCCTTGCTGTTAAGTGTTAAACCTAGAAATTAACAATTGTGCTGTAAGCAATATTCACCTAATTCAGGACTTTGTTGAAATCTACAAATCTTAAGGTATGAAGAAAAATGTTGTGCTTGTAACCAGGGATAACAGAAAAAAGCTAAAGAAAGACAAACAATCCCAATTTTGTAGTACATTCCTAATCAGACGACTTTAGAATCTAATTTTACAAATATAATTGATGAAACGATAATCACAAAATAGCCCTAGTCCTGCCATTTCCAAAATGTGGTTGCCTTTTATAAGCATTTAAAATTGCCAGAGATATTTAATGTAAAGTCATCTGATTAACTGTCAATTAATTCCGGGGTCTTTCTGATTATGACTATTTAAAAGCAATGGATATTTTTTTCTTCAGAAAAAATTTTAAGCTAAAATATTTGTGAAAACTGAAATTGTGAAATTTAAAAATTTACATGTACCTAGGTTTGATGTCTCACATACTTTTTAATGCTATATTTGGACTCAGGGGGACTAGGAAAATGGGAAAACAGTCTTGGTATTGAACAATTCATGTTTTTTAAGACACCCTAATATACAGGCTTATCTTTGCTGTTAAACCGATAATTATTCAGGTTTAGGATCGTCATTGCAGTTGAATAAAATCAAACCTAGAAAAATGCAATTCTCAAGTAAGGAAAAAGTTCTTACATCCCTATTTATTTCAGAAAACATTGTTTTTAAACTTAAACTATTTTAATTTTTACTTTACCTTTTTTTTGCGAGGAGATCAAAGTGTTTGGCACATTCCTTAGGGTACAATTCGTTCAGCATATCTATAGACGAGATTCTTTAAATATTTTTAGAGAACAAGGGTGAGGTTAGATGTACATATTTTAAAGGTTACTTTGTAATAAATATCGGGTAACACGACATTCTGTAAACCTGAACTACATTGTACTTTATTAACTATCAACGTTTGTAAGCTTTTATGTAAAACATATTATTCATTTGAATTGCACTTTAAATGAATACTTAGCATGATTTTTGATTAGCTTAATTATGTGATATATAATGACGTACATCTCAAGTGCGCCAATTTCAATTGTATTGTACATACGTAACATGATTGTCTTAATCATGTGAGATAGATAACGACGTAGGAATTGTAATTACATATAAACCTCAAATAAACTAATTGATATTGAGACTCAGCTTTGAGTACAGGAGTAATTTAGTTCTTGTTAAACATACGAGTTGAGATCATGTCCATTGATTTGGCATTGATAAGTTACTAGCTTGTGTCTGTATTGACATTGATAGCTGACAAGATTGTGCCCAATGTTTGGTATTGATAGATTACTAGCATGTGTCTCTATTGACTTTTAGAGCTGACGAGATCGTGCCCAGTGGTTTGGTATTGATAGATTACTAGCATGTGTCTGTATTGACTTTTAGAGCTCACAAGATCGTGCCCAGTGGTTTTGCATTGATAGATTACTAGCTTGTGTTGATGCTGACATTGATAGCTGACGAGATTGCGTCCGAATTGACATTGATAGCAAAATACGACTGAGTTGAACCTGGATAGATGCGGGAAGGAGAGCAGTTTATGGAGTAGGGTATTTACTACAACTGATACTTTCCACATTACCCAAGGAATTTAAAGTAAACCAATTGTAAGTTTCCAAATGTTTTTGGCGATTTGCTTGACACCCTCTCGTTACCAAGGAAAAAGTTTTCAGGAGAAATTGTACTAATATCTAAAATATCCGTAAGTTTAAGAAAATTTTTGTCCCTGTATTCTTCTCAATGTTAATATCCATCATGGCGCCCAGCAGGTACAGCTGAAATATAATAGAATTGTACTGTATTAATTGTATACTAGGGGTTATTGAGTGTATAACTAGGGGTTATTGAGTGTATAATATTAATATCCAACATGGCGCCCAGCAGGTACAGCTGAAATATAATAGAATTGTACTGTACTAATTACTAGGGGTTATTGAGTCTAACATGGCGCCCAGCAGGTACAGCTACAAAATAAAATAAAATTGTACTGTATTAATTGTATACTAGAGGTTATTGAGTACATAATATTAATATACAGCATGGCACGAATGGCACCCAGAGCCCAAAATTTAAAAGAGTATCGTTGAACGCGAAACTCTCGAGTTTAATTTGTGTAGATTTTGATTGTAGAGATTCGAAAAAAATGGATAGTAAGAAGAAACCAAATAAAATAATATTGTGTCAAGAACTAGCTTTTGAGTGCAAAATAGGAAATATTGAAAAATAAAAATCACATACTAAAACGAATCATAAAAAAGTTTGAGAAGAATGGAATACCACATAAAATAAATAGTCCCGAGGCCGAATTTAAAGAATTTGAGTCGCGGCTTAAATTTTAGACGCGGCTCAAATATAGTTTGTTTTACCTGAAATTGTATTGTTTCAAGATTTAAGCCGGCGCTAAATTGAAATCGGTTTTTGGCGGATTTGAAACGCGGCTCAAATTCATTACATTGAGACTTCGTCAGGCCCGGCTGATGGGAAGAAATGAAAACAATTTTAACAAAACACTTTGGCTTACCGCGTTATAAGATTCTTCACATTGTTTATCGAACCAAGGCATGTTCCTGAACAAAGATTCGTTAAATATTGCATCTAGAGTTGAATTTTTTTTTTGGATGTTTTGGTTGAGGTTTGCCTCTGAACCTAGATCTGTGGATCCGCGTATTTTTGCGGATTTGGTGACCGAAAATTACCTTGGACACCATTTCTCAGCAATTTTCTTCTGAACAATTTTATCCGAAGAGTTCTTGAGGGCATTCTTCTTCTGCTTCTTCTTCTCAGAGAAGAACTTGGCGGTAGCAGCAGCTAGAGCTTTCTTCAGCACAATCTCACCCTGGTCACCTAGCAGAATATTAGTTTATAAATAAATAATAAAGATCTGATAGGGAACACGAAATGGAACGCACAGACCGCCCACCCTCAGGGTGCAGCGCATCAACGAGCAGCCTGAATTCAATCCGGACTTGAGAACAATTCTATTCAGTGGCATATCCGATTTACAACGGTACCCTAAAGAATATATGTCTGATAATGAAGGTATCCTTTGTTTTCTAACAGAAAATTGAGTTTCAAAAACCTGATTGTAACACTCACTTTTGTGCATATAACGTCGCTTAGAATTTCTAGAATTCTGAATGTTCTTTATCAAAGTCATCAACACTTGCATGCGTGTCTGTAAATAAAATACTAACGCATTAAATTTTTAGCTAAAAAAGGATACCCAGGCCCATGATCAATCAAACGTTGAACAGGCGCCGTCGTGAATCTGACGTGCCACTCCGAAATAGAGGGTTACTCGAAATTACGGTTACAAATCCTTTTCACCCCCCCCACACCCCGGCCCCCCTTTTGCAAAAATGATGTTATTTCAAATTTTCAATGTAGATGATTTCAATCCTTTTCCCTTTTTATGATCCACCCTTTACCATCTTTCCACTTACCCACTTCCTTCTTGATCTTCTTCTCGATCTTCTTCAGCTGTTCTTTCTCACTGGAAACAAGATTTATATTGATGTAACCTTTTCTTATCTATCTAAGAGAAATGGATAGAGTGGGGAAATCAAAATGATTTTTTTTAGATGGAAAATTATAAACTCGACGTATGTATATTGTATACTGTTATGTCCCCGCCCCCCTTTTTAGACTCTTTTAAAAGCTAACAATTTTTTAGTAAACCGGGGGAAAAATTATTTTTTATTTTTCAAAGTTTTAACAATAAAGAAAAATGCAAAAATCATTTTCAAAACTAAAGAATTAGAGTAATCCCCAACCTGGCGCTCTTCTTCTTTGCTTTAACCTCAGCTCTCCTCTCCATCATGATCTCTTTCCTGACCTCAGCTTCATCTCGACCAGACTCTGGAAAAACAAATTCTTCTGATTGTTGTGAAATACAAATTCTGCTTTTCATACAAAATCTATACAATGGTGTATATTTTTCTTACAAAATCTATACAGGGGTGTATATTTTTCTTACAAAATCTGTACAGGGGTGTATATTTTTCTTACAAAAACTTTGCCCAGAATCTATTTTATCTAGATGTGCTAATATTTAACAAACCCGGATTCTATTACAATGACGTATCACCAAAACATGTCTATATATAAATAAAAAAATTCAGACCAAGCGCTATTGTTGAGGGACTAGACCCTAGATTTTGTGCTGCTGTCAACTAAACATGATAGATTTTACTTCATTATTTTTTTGAATACCATATGATTATACATGCATTGCAGACGATACTTCATTTAAATAAGAAATATTTGTCTGATGTACAATTACCGCGTATACAATAACCTATTCTGAATATTTCTTATACAAATGAAGTACGGTCTGCAAAGCATGTATAATCATATGGTAGGGCGGGCCGCGTCAGTTGTATCTCCCTTCTATTTCATACTCCTACAGGTTATTACTTACCTCTAGCTCTCTGTTGAACGAGCTCATTGACTCGTTGTCTATGTTTTGACTTGGTCATCTTGATTTCTCCCATTTTCTTCTGCAAAATTACATAATTATATATTTGCAATATTCATTCAGGTACGAGAAATGTAGAATAATTAATAAATATATTGTGAAATTGTATGCAAATAAATTAGTGTTCTTTGTACAGTGTTCCAAGCATTAACTTTCACTTTAAATCAGTACACTGTACACTGCATGTACAGTGTATATAGGACATGTACAATTACATGTGCAGCAATTAGCAGATTTTTAGACGCGTCAGAAAATGCAATGGATCTATCTTTGCACAAATGGAAACTGAAGTACTTCCAAAGTGTGCACCAAAGTACTTTTAAAATGGACATTAAAGTACTTCTAAATGGACATTAAAGAAGTTCTAAAATTGACATTAAAGTACTTCTAAAATGGACATTAAAGTACTTCTAAATGGACATTAAAGTACTTCTAAATGGACATTAAAGTACTTTTAAAATGTACATTAAAGTACCTCTAAAATGGACATTAAAGTAGTTCTAAAATGGACATTAAAGTAGTTCTAAAATGGACACTGAAGTACTTCTGAAATGGACATTATAGTACTTCTAAATGGACATTAAAATACTTCTAAAATGGACATTAAAGTAATTCTAAAATGGACATAAAAGTACTTCTAAATGTACATTACAGTACTTCTAAAATGAACATTAAAGTACTTCTAAAATGGACATTACAGTACTTCTAAAATGAACATTAAAGTACTTCTAGAATGGACATTAAAGTACTTCTAAAATGAACATTAAAGTATTTCTAAAATGGACATTAAAGTACTTCAAAAATGGACATTAAAGTACTTCTAAAATGGACATCAAAGTACTTCAAAAATGGACATTAAAGTACTTCTAAAATGGACATTAAAGTACTTCTAAAATGAACATTAAAGTACTTCTAAAATGGACATCAAAGTACTTCTAAAATGTAAATTAAAGTACTTCTAAAATGGACATTAAAGTACTTTTAAATAGATATTAAAGTACTTATAAATGGACAATAAAGTACTTCTAGAATGGACATCAAAGTACTTCTAGAATGGACATTAAAGTACTTCTAAAATGAACATTAAAGTACTTCTAAAATGGACATTAGAGTACTTCTAAAATGGATATTAAAGTACTTCTAAAATGGACATTAAAGTACTTCTAAGATGGACATTAAAGTACTTCTAAAATGGACACTAAAGTAGTTCCAAAATGGACATAAAAGTAATTATAAAATGGAAAACTAAGTAATTCTAAAATGGGCACTGTTTCTTGATCTTTGGCATGTATCCTTTAGTTCTTAGTTTTCTGACAGCTTCTCGTAGATGTTTAGGTCTTTTACATCAGGATTATTACACAAAGTCACAATAAATAAATTTATCTGATTGTATCCAATATGAAGGAAATAATCTAGGAACCCCAACTCAAATGTAAACAAATTGTGTACAGTACTATCTGGGATGCAAAGAGATAATCATTAGAAAGTCAAAGTTTGTGGAAAAGACTTCTTTTGAATGTAAAATCCAATGTTCCTGATTGGTTGACCAGCCTCCCCTGACTTTCCCATATCCTCTAAAGCCATCTCTACAACCTCGCCTGCAAACACCTGAAAATAATATTTGTTTCTAACAATCTGAAGGAGACTAATTTAAACAAGTTACTAAAATGGGCCTAATCTAGTCAAAATTTAGTCTGCTAAGACAAGCGGCTTCTTTGTGTTAAAACAGGCGTCTCATTGCAGAAATACATACTTCTAAATTCTATCTCTTTCCACTTTTGAAAACATTTGAGGCATCATTTCAAGGATGTTTATTAGTCCATTTTTATGTCAAAAAAAATACACTTTATCTATCTCACATTTTATCTTATAATTTGTACATTAAAACTAATGTAGAGCAAAGAGAACAAAAAACATTGCAGTGATAAATAAATGATGAAAAAATAAAAATGCAAGGAGATCCTACAGACAGTAAAATCTTTTTATGTTTTCTCCCTCAAAAAATTACTGTTAAACTTTTTATACACCTTGGTAATAATTTAAAGATCTTGTATTCCCTGATTTTTTTTTTACCTTTGCAATACCAGCCATAGCTATAATAACATTCTGTCCTGTACTAGAACTACCAGTAATATTCTGCATTATCTTCTTAATTGTTGCCTAAACAAAACAAGTTAACAACTTTATTGTTGCCTAAACAAAACAAGTTAACAACTTTATTGTTGCCTAACCAAAACAAGTTAACAACTTTATTGTTGCCACAACAAAACAAGTTAACAACTTTGTTGTTGCCTAAACAAAACAAGATAACAACTTTATTGTTGCCACAACAAACAAGTTAACAACTTTGTTGTTGCCTAAACAAAACCAACATCAGTTTCATGATTCCATGTATATTCGTGTTTATTCTTATAATGGAGAATGAGAATGATTTAAATCGAGCTTTGAATTAAAATTGCAGAAGGATGACAAATTCTCAAGTTGTTTTTAGAATTCTCGGGATGGGATTTGGAATTCTCCAGCAGAATTAGAAATGACGGAGTTCAGGAATTCTGCTCGCGGGTTTTGAAAATCTCCTAATGACTCCGGAATCCTTCTACTCTCTCTCTTTATCCTGTTGCCTGTCCTGCGCATCCTCGAGCTCCTCCTGCTCGGGCTAGACCAGGCGTCTCCTCTCCTCCCTACTTCTTATGTTCCCGTTTCTAGAAGTGACCAGGCGACTTTTGCCTGGACAGAACTAGGAGATACCACATGTGTGTTACTTGCGCTGTATGTTTACTATACAGTCATCGTCGTATGTATAAATACAACAAAAACGACTTTCTATTTCAATTTGGATTTCTTTCAGGATTTCAAACAGCTGTAACGCTTAAAAATTTAAACAAAGAAAAGTTGTGAATTAAGAGATTCTCTGTGTTCACTTGTAAACTTTCAATTTTAAAAATGTTATGTAACAAACCATTATTAATAAAAAGTCGTCTTCTTCATTGATATAGTCGCCGACCACTGCACTTTATCATAAAATCTTGAAAAAAAGTGTAAAACCTTAGGAAATGAAGCTCTTCTATACATAGCATATCTATCCAACTGATCCTCGGTAAAGTTTGAGACGAGGAACTGCATCTTCTCCCTCTCCTCCTTCTCGGCCTCCTTCTTGTTCTTCTCCTGTGCTGTTGAACCCCCAGGGTGGGGGGTAGTGGGGGTATCAAACAGAGGGGTTCCATCTCCACTCTTATAAAATAGAATTATAGGAACTGTCCGACTCACAACAGTACCCTTGAAAGCTTTGTCTTATCAAGTATGAAATCTAATCCATGTTTTTGTTTTAGAAAACTGATTATTTTATTGTTAGATTCTCCACAAAAGTTCCTTTTTATTAGAAATGATCAGAATGATCCGAACTACACACTTAAATGTCGTTATCCTCCAGATTATTGATCAGATAAGGTATCAAGGGTAACGTTGTAAATCAGACCAGTTTAATTTGTGATCAGTTTATCTATATTAACATTACAATTGTAACCCTTCTTTAGCGGTGTAAATTAAAAATATTGTATTTTTTCTTTTGCCTAATTATAAATGTAAGTCAAATGTTCAAATAATTGACGACCTGTTAATAAATTAAACTCAACTTCTTTTAAAACATTTATAAAATAAAATAGAGCAGTTTTATTCCGGAAGCATATTTAGAGTTAAAATAAAATCAAATTACCACTTTAGATTCCTCTGCACTTTTTTGAGAAGCTGAAGCCTGTTCACGGACAAATCAACTTTTCAACAAAATAGATTTTTTTCCGCTTGCCAAATATATGGTTGCCATAAATATGTTTTTAGTTTTTAAAAATAGACTAATGCTAAATAATTGTATTAACTTTCGTGAATCTTTAAAATTTCAAAAAGTTACAAAACAGAAGACTAAACAAACAAATGCTAAGTCCGTTTCCTCGTCAATATTAAGCTTTGGAAGATCTGGTTTCGCTTTCAACCTAAAATATTTTGATAAATTAAAATCTATGCAGCTAGCATAAAACATTTCATTGTTCGATATAAAAAAATATTACATTAATGACCAAACCTGTCATTGCTGGGCTCTTCAGGATCAGGAGCTTCAAGCTTGATCTTTTTCACCGACGGCTCTGAACCTTCTGTAAATATAAATTATAAACCAAAATTTAAAAAAAAAAAAAATTTTCAATTTGGTGCCATTTTTGCTATCGCCGCCATTTTTCTTTCCCTTTTTTATTTTTTAGACGCCATTTCTGAGAATCAACATTTAATTATAGACATCGCTTGCGTAAGTGTGTATTGTATAAGTAAAAAAAAAACATTAGAGAAGCACTTTTTTGAATTTTTGGCGTCTGTTTCTTATAGATATAAAAAAAGGACAACAAGAAAAAATAATTAAGAAACTTTTGAAAACCAACCTGCTGGAAGATCGTCGGTTTGCAAATCAGACATCATCTTCTCTGAAATTTTGCAAAGTTTAAAATATATAATAAAAACTGCGGCTCACAGAAATTTAACCAATACATATTATTCTGTAAATATATTAAATTAACTGTTCTGAATGTATTTTTTCCAACTCCTACTGTCGATCGTACACGTTAACAAAATATACTCGTTTTATGGCTGAATAAAATATTTAGACTACAAAATCCAGTTTTTGACAGGATTCATTACTCAAAACCTTCGTCTCCATATTTATTCTTATTTCTAGATTGTTGTGGCGGATTATAGAGTCCAGGTGGGGCGGAAGATGCTGGCGGAGTATATACGGGCGGGAGCTCCTGTTGTTGGGGCGGACGGTAGGGTGCCGGAGGATCGCCTCTGTTTCTTCTCCTCAACTCCTCGTAGGAAGAGATGGAGGTGGCGGGGGTTACCACAGGTTCACCCTGGTATCCGTAGCCAGGAGCAGGGGCAGCCCCACCCTGCTGCAGGGGGACACCTAGACCACTAGCTTCGGCACCTGAATATTCAACTTTTTTGATAAAATGGTTTTTTTATTTATTTTTACTTTTGGAAAAAAAATGTGACTTTAATTCTCATGCTTTTTAAACACAGATAAAATGTTAATTAGAACAATTAAAATTCTTGTTATTACCCCCTCCCCTTTTATTGACAATAAAAACTCAAAATAATAAAATAATAAGTTTATACTCCTATTTCACCATTTTCTTAAAAATATTAACTTCTATCACATTTTAGTATACATTTCAGTAAAAATTGCAAAAATTCATAAAAGTTTAAAATATTATTTGAAAGGTAAAAAAAGTTTGTTAAACCTGTATCTTCAACTTCGTCCGGCTCGCGTTTAGGCATTCCTCTTCTAGCCCGTACCGCCTCCGCTATTTTACCACTTTAACAAAAATTTATTTTTTAAAATGGGTTCTTAGTGATTGGCCGGATTCGGATTCAATTAGCAATCAAAACCAACCAATTAAATATACATTTTCCCCCCACAACAGGATATTACAATAGAGATTTTACATATCGTTAAATTATCAAAAGTTCTCTTTTTTTGTTTTTAAAGAAGTTCATTAAAATTAATTAAAAAAAGAAAAAGAAGCGATAAACTATTTCAAACATATAGAAGTTTTGAAAATTTGTTATTTTCACCTTGGCGCTTCTATGAGGAATTTGTCAGCACAGGCGTCAGCGTAGGAAAATTTACCAAAAAAATACCCAACCAGGGCAGCCAGTGAGGTCTAAAATACATGAAATTTCAAAATATTTACATTATTATGTTATGTGTATATTTTTAATGAACCGATCTATGGTTTAACGATTAGAGTGGGTTTCCAGTCCAACAAAAATGTTGTCAGAGCTAAAAACTTTAGAGTGGTGGATATCGAAATCAATGCTTAATCCTCTCTTTTTGCTAATCTCAAGACTTTAGATTAATTTTTAGAGATTAGAGATGCGCTCTTTAACTTTTGAAAACCCGATTTTTACTTTTTGCGCATTTCTGGTGTTGATGGTGTCATATTAATTGAACTAATGAATGATTAAACGAACGTAAGTTTTGGATTAATGTTTATTAAGACTATCGTTCAATATGACCATATTCATGAAATGAGATAAAATATGTTTTAAAGAAGCATATTAAATTTATATTTGTTTAAATGCTTCAAAATCCGGCTTGTGGACAGCTGACTTTAGTTCAATTAGATATTAGTCCAGTCGATATAGCATTATTCCTGTAATTGTTATCAACCGTAATTTGTATACAGTAGGGGGTATCCAAAAGAGAGGATTAAGAAGAAAATCATAAGTGTGTCCATTGGATACTCAGATTAAGTAATCGGGATTATGAAAATAGACAAGAGAGAGTTAGTTAAGTGTTGTAAAATTGAATAGAGGAGTTGGTTGGCCTTGATATATATATTGGGACTAATCTTATCAAAAGCTGATTCTTATTTGAAATTCACATTGAAAAAAAAACTCACTAAGGTCAAACCTAACTTTTTTAGAATTGAGACTAACGGATTTAGACTCGAAACTAGCTTTTAAATTTCGACCTTGCAAGTTACAGATGAGCTTGAACAGGGGCGGATACAGGATTTAAATGAGGGGGGGGGCGAGATTTTTTAGGAACCAAAAAATTAATAATTAGGAACAACAAATCGTGCCGCAGGCGACATTTTTTTTTTACTTAAAAGACTCAAAAAGAGTCAAAATTAATGACTAAAGACTAAAAAACTAGATTTTTAACTTAAAGGAACAAAATTAACGGATTAGAACAGGAATTTAGGAACAATTAAAAGATTGTTCAGGAATTAGGAACAAAAATAAATGATTAGGACAGGAATTTAGGAACAATTAAAAGATTGTTCAGGAATTAGGAACAAAATTAAAGGATTCGGACAGGGATTTAGGAACAATAAAAAGATTGTTCAGGAATTAGTAACAAAAATAATGGATTAGGACAGGGATTTAGGAACAATAGAAAGATTGTTCAGGAATTAGGAACAAAAATATTGGATTAGGACAGGGATTTAAGTTGGGTCGGACACAGTATTAGGAACAGGAACAATAATAGGAACATTAGCAATTTAAAAACAAAAAGAAATTACTAGTTATACTTAAATGCATCAAAATTAGGACCAATATTACAATTTTGATAAATGAGTATTGATTAAGGAACATTACTAGATATGAACAATATTATAACTTAAGTCTAGTTTCTTACAAATTTCTAATTCTAAATTTATCGTTAACAATAACATTTACTTGTTGTCGGTGATTTTTAAATTAAACTGAAGAAAAGAAAGTCAAGATTTCCATTAAATAAAAAAGCTTGAAATTGAAATCGATTAAAACACTTAAGAAATTATACATTAAAAAGAAAGCACAAAAAATAAAACTCTCCACTCATTTTTACCTTTGGTGCAGGCCCAAATCTCATGTGGGGCCTGAGTACACCCCTTAGCACGAGAACATGTGTGGTGGCAGCAAGTACAGCCCCTAGCGGCAGGGATCGGTACCAAAAAGATTCAGAGTTGCATTTACGCAGAATACTCTGCTCCTCTAAAATATTAATCAATCAACAAATCAATCAATATAATCAATCAATATATCAATATATCAAACAATTAACCAAACATTTTGTCGACTTGACGTATCAATGCTGTGAAAAGTAAATTAACACAAACGTTAAATTTTCAATATCCAATCAAAACATCGAATATTTTTAAACTTGACAACTATTAAATAAAAAATTTATTTATTATTGTTATTATTTATTTATTATTATTATCATTTATTCATAATTATATCTTTACTAAAACGAGTACCTGGTGTTAGCTGAGGAGGTCCCCCGGGGGGCAGTCCTAAAAAACATTTTTTGACCTAATGTGTTAAAAAAAAATCCTAAAAGGTGGATCAAGGTAGTACAGGGAAATATTTATAAACTTTTAGTGTTTTAAGACTTATAAAGGTCACCAAAGAAATAATGCAAATAGAACATTTATATTTGTAGTTTTAAATAATAAGTGAACACGGATTTCTTCTACAGTAACAATGGAGGAACGTGTCAGAATTAAACAATTTAAACTATAAAAACGATGATATTTTTAATTACATTGTTATGTAACACTTAAATTAAAAGGAAACATGATGTGAACGTGTTTAAATTTTCTTAATCCATATTAAAAATTATATTAACCTACCCTGTTGTTGTTGTTGTTGTTGTTGTTGTTGTGGATATCCCTGTTGTTGTGGATATCCCTGATGTTGTGGGGGTATACCGGACATTTTTAACTGGAAAGTAAATATTAATTAAATATCAATAAAAATATTAAATGATCTGCAAACATATATTTATCATTCGAAAACAAATTCCGCTTCTGAACGATTCGAAATGTTTTAACTTATCGTTGTGATTTCAAGTGACCCACCAGTCAACGAGTTTTCTAATTTGAAAAATGTTTAACTTTTACAAATTCCATCCCCAAGTCATTTATAGACGAAACCACTATTGAAAGTTAACCAATTATGACTATCTCACGCATTCTTGATCATATAAAGTTTTTATGGGTCCCATTGTGAATCAGACATATTGCTCATTTAAGGAGAACCACTTGTTTAACCCATCCATATATATTTTGTTTTCATTACTTACAATCCAGGGAAACAGTTGGTTTTTAATTTTAAGAAAATTTCCATTTTCGGCTTAACGAGCAAAGCACATAAAAATATACACAAATGGAGTGTAAAGTCTAAAAAGCACTGTGTACGATGTAAATATTTAAATTGTAAATAAATTAAGTAATAGAAGTAATCTCCCACCTCCTTCTTAATTGTAAGAATAAGGTGGTAAGTGGGATGACTTTATTTATTGGACAACCCTGAAATGTTTAATTTTATAAAATTATCGACATTTTCTGTCCAGGGGATCAAAGATGGAAAATAATAAATAAATCAAATCAAAAATATTGTTTTAATTCTGGGCTGTCTCACTATGCAATTCGTCTTACACATTTCCTTTCATTGAAAGTAATACAATAATATCCATAGAAAATATCACAAAAATAGTTTTAAAAGATTTGAATCTGTTTGTGCCAAATTGAACTAACGCCACATCTTAGCCATCAGCAGTAGTTTTGGTAGATTCTTCTTTGTCAGAATGTTCAGCTGTATTATCCAAACTAGATGGGGTCCCATCGATGGAAGTCTTTTTTTCTTCTGGTTTATCTGCGGTTTCATCAGGTTGATCTGCATTTTCTCCAGTTACTTTCTCATCATGATTATCATTTTTTCCCTAAAATTTTTAATAAGTCAATGGTGGATAAAAAATTAAATTTAGCTATCATAAGCATTAACTTCATAAATCAATAGGACCCCTTCTCATTTTAATGCAAAATTTCAATATTTTTATGTTGGAAATTTATTAAAATAATATTAAAAGTTTCTCAAGATCGAATAAAGAAACTATAAGGGACAAAATGTTTTTAATGCAGGGATTTTCAAATTCTTTCTTGAAAAACGTGAGAAAATATTAACAAAAATCCACGAAACGATTAGAAAAACTGTCACATATTTGCCTCGAAAAAATTGGAAACCTTTCATTTCAAGGATCGTTGCATTGAGAGAAAAAAGACGGGAGGACAATTCTGTTAAAATAAAATGAAACAAAATACCTCATTTTCTTCTCCAATAATAATTTCTTCCGGATCTGGTGCCCTTGGCAGGAACTCCTCCCCGGGGAACATCCGGGCATAAATCTGCTCCGCGCTAAGGACGGAGGTGTCGAAGTCTAACTCAGGGTAGGGTCCTTCAGCTCGGTATACATTCTCCAGCGTGGTTCCAACATCACCTACATACGACAATATGAATTTTGGGTTTCAAATCTTGTCAGAGTTAATTATTTCTTAAGCAGGTGTCTACAACACTTTTCTTTTTTTGATTGTATTATTTACTTTAACAAACATAAATGTGTTTTTTAATGAAATGACGGAGCATCAAATTGTTTTGTAAGGCATTAAATGATAAAAGAAATTAACACTGGGATTGGAAAATGTGTGCTATGCTTGTTTTATCCTTTTAAAACTCGTCTTTGTTTTGAATAACCTGTTCTTGTTTTCTGAATAAAAGAGAGAGAGTAAAGAATAGATTTCTCCGGTAGAACTTCTCTTACACGTTCTTCAATCTCCTCCCCCCAATCTTTACAACTAGCATGAACCACCTAGAAATATAATAAAGGATTAACTAATCCTCTCCTTAATCCTTATAGCTAGCATGAACCACCTGGAAATATAATAAAGGATTAACTAATCCTCTCCTTAATCCTTATAGCTAGCGTGAACCACCTAGAAATATAATAAAGGATTAACTAATCCTCTCCTTAATCCTTATAGCTTGCATGAACCACATGGAAATATATTAAAAGATTAACTAATCATCTCCATAATCCTTATAGCTAGCGTGAACCACCTGGAAATATATTAAAGGATTAACTAATCCTCTCCTTAATCCTTAGAGCTGTCAAGAACCACCTGGATTAAAATCAACGGATTTTTCGGTAATGGATTCTGTTGGAGGAAAGGGTTAAATTGTTATACCTCTTGAGCGAAAAAAGGGACAAGGAAATTTATAATTGATAGATGTAGTTCAATAGAGTACAGGTGGTTCAACTGCTTTTTAAATACAAAGAATTCAATAATTTTCACAACATGTTTAATCTTGAAGTTTACCCCGCTTCACATTGACCCATAAATGACCAGTTCTTCCGTAATAAATATTTTCTGGGTTTTACTTTTATATTTTTAACAAGATCTTTACCTGCAATCCTTTAGGACAAGTGGCAGTGCCGGGGCCCACTTCAATAACATGCAGTGGTTCCTGATATTTTGTTCATCAACTAACACATTAACAAAGACATATCGAGATGAAGCGAACTTTTTACATAGGAAAGCTTTATCTTTTATGATAAACTACATTGGGAACCCAGCGTGTACCAGGGGAGTCATAGTTATTCCCACCATTTGCACGCCCCTTGTCGTAAATTACGATGTTAGCTATTTTTCACGATCCACTCAGCTTATAATCTCAAAACCAAGCTAATAACATTCCCGAGGCTCTCCCAAGTACACCACTCAAAATTTTAGAAATAGGTCGAGAGATTCCCGAGTTATGATCAGACAAACAGAGATTGCAACTTTATATATAGATGACATTCCTGTGTTTGCATGGTGAGTAGAGTAATTTGCTCCTTCTCTGATGGGAGTAGAGAGGTTTCAGTTATAAACATACTTCTCCGGGTACCAACCTGTACACAGATTATATATTTTATATTATATATTTATACATAAATCGGAGTACCAGGAAGTATTGTATCCGGAGTAAGAGAATACCTGGAGAAAGGTTAAAGGGAGGATTGTATCTGGAGTAAGAGTATACCTGGATAAGGGTTGAAGGAAGGATTGTATCCGGAGAAAGAGTATACCTGGGGAAGGGTTGAAGGAATTATTGTATCCGGAGTAAGAGTATACCTGGAGAAGGGTTGATGGAAGGATTGTATCCGGAGTAAGAGTATTCCTGGAGAAGGGTTGATGGAAGGATTGTATCCGGAGTAAGAATACCTGGAGAAGGGTCGAAGGAAGGATTGTAACCGGAGTAAGAGTATACCTGGAGAAGGGTTGATGGAAGGATTGTATCCGGAGTAAGAGTATACCTGGAGAAGGGTCGAAGGAAGGATTGTATCCGGAGTAAGAGTATCTGGGAGAACAAGATAATCACAAAGTATACGCTTGCCACCAGCAACAACACCAATACATTTACCATCCTGAAACCAATCTGTAAATAGTATTTTCTCTATAATTTCAGCGTCGTGACTCCATGTTTCAAGACCAGCGAAGTTCAGATTATTACATGTTTTTTTTACTGTTTTTGTTTGTTCAATTTAAAATTCAAGATTTTTAACTACTACCTGCAATGGAAAGTAAAGCCATTTAACTACTTGAAATCCAGAATACACATATATTTAATAGTACCAATCGAATTTTCTTCTTTGACGAAATCACGGCCCTCTTTTAAAAGTAAAATGTAGGAAGGTTAATATTTTGAAGAAAAAAATTATTTATTAATTCTTTGAAGGGATTGACCGGCAATGTATGGTATGAGAATGTAATATTGTGGAGGAATTTTCTCTTCTCACCTTAATTATTATATTATCTAAAGCCCGGCCTAAGTAGTAAACCCCACCGTACACTGCACATAACCTTAAACAATGAAAAATTAAATACATAAAAATGTACAGGAATTTGTCTAGGGGGGAGAGGAGACCTAAATATTTTTATCTCCAAGGAGAGGGGGGGTAAGGGGGAGCAGGGCGAGACGTTTAGAAAAGATTTCGATATGCTTATACTGTGAAATATTGCATTTAAAATTTGCGCACTTGTACATATGTACAAGAGTGTACAGTGTACACGGAATACCGCCTAACCTGCAAAATGCTTGCGGGAGTTCTCCGCTACCATACATGGACCAAAGGAAAGGTGTACTGCCGAACCGTCCTAAAAATACATTCATTTAAAATCAAGATTGACATCAGGGATAAATAATAAATAAATTAATTATAATCTATGCTGGGAACTTCTTAATGAAGAGAACGAGTTTAACTCGGTATAACCCCCAGTTAGAAGACGACATTAAATTAGTTTTATGATTCTGTTTTTTTGAGGCATTTCCGTGTTGAGTCGTTTCCGTGTTGAGGCGTTTCCATGTCACCAATAGATCAGCTCGATCCACCATTTTAAAAAGTTTCCGGCTTTGTAGCAAAGAAACACTTCCTATGAATCGTTTGACCAAATTGAAACTTTTTTTAATAAATAATTTATTAAGTCTAAAAAAGGATCTCATACAACGAGAACCAGAAAACTTTGGAATAGAAAGACGACTTTTACACCCAAAATTGACTTAAATAAATAGTCCAATGAACACAAGACAGAGCAATTGTGTAGCATAGACCCATTTCCCTGAATAAGTGATTTAATAAGTCCCAAATAAAACTTTTTTCTTTGTAACAATTTAAAACACACTTCAGTACTGTTTTAATGTCGTCTTCCTATTCCAGAGTTTTCCGGTTCATACTGTATTCTTTTAATTTTAATATTAGAATTCAATTACCAAGACTGGATAAAAACTTCCTAGTTTGTTGAATTCCTTGAACTGTGTTTGTATCAGGTTTGACCATTGCTATTGAATACAGAACAAAATGAATCAGGTTGTCTGTCAACTTCTCATGCTTCAAGAACTCTCTTCAAACCAAATTTCAAATAAAATAGAAAATCTTCATTGTCTCTTCTCATTAGTCCTCGCTGGTTGGAATTTGTTCTAATTTATCTGTTGTTGGATGTTGTGCTTTCAGTTGCTTTGTTTATCGTTTTTCGTTTTTTGCCCATATTTTCTTTCAGGGTCAAAATTAGACATAATGTTAGTGAAGAAAATGTTTTAAAAAAAGATTATTGCAAACATTTTCCTTCCTTTAAGTATATTAACAATTGACCCTTGCAGAAGATACATGCAAAAAGATAATAAAAAATAATCCCAAAAATTATGAAAATACGAACGTACAACACGTTTTTAATCGTTTTTAATTGTTTTTCCGATTTTTTAGAATAAGGATTATTCCAAAATTCAACAAAAGCAAACTTTAACATTACACGTTTTGAAATCTTTGAAGTTTGATTAAATTTGTTCTTAAAAAACGATCCAAAACGCATAGCCCCGAAATGGTGTTAGGTATTTTCCCAAAGGCATTTTCCCAAGGGCGACTTCACTAGTGACAATTTCCGAAGTGGCAACTTCCCAAATTTGAAAATTCCCAAGCGGCAACTTCCCAAAAGTTAGGTTAGCCTTCTGAGGCGCCTTCTATGCTGCAATCGGAGCCGAGCGCCGCGGCTATGATGCTAAGGTTTTTGCTTAATTTCCGTAAGATAATACAGAAAATTATTACCATTCCGCTTTCAGAATATTAAAAAAGAATTGAAATTTTCAGCTTTATTCTACTTTTTTATCTTTCATTTTTATTCTACTTTTTGCCGACTTATCATTTCTTTATATGCTTTTGGTATTCTTTTAGGCCAGATTGTTCTTTTTAAAAATCTTAAATGAATACAATTAATCTTGAGTAATTTTTATAATTTTGGTTCCTAAATGGTTTCTCCTCCATTCCTTTCATTATATCTTCATCCTAAAATGTTTTTTATCTTTCAGATGATTTTACGATTATATTAAANCCATATTCAGTAATCAGATTAGAGTTTAAACGAAAATGTTCTTAAATTATCTTTAAAATAAAACTTTTACGAACCTTTTCTGAGATGCAGAGAGAGAGAAACTTCATAAGAATCCTTTTCTCAACAACAGATATATGTTTCGTACTGAATACATCAGCTCTACTGCTAGGTACATGCTCCAACCTTCCATCTATCTGTAAAGTGTAAAGTGTAATGTAAAGTGTACAGTATATAGTGTACAGATATATGTTTCGTACTGAATACATCAGCTCTACTGCTAGGTACATGCTCCAACCTTCCATTTATCTGTACAGTGTACAGTGTACATAGATAGTTAAGTGTACAGTATATAGTGTACAGTGTACAGAGATATGTTTAGTACTAAATACATACGCTCTACTGCTAGGTACATGCTCCAACCTTCCATCTATCTTTCAACTGTAAAGTGTAAAGTGTACAGTGCACAGTGTGCAGAGATATGTTCAGTACTGAATACACTGCTAAGTACATGCTCCAACATTCCACCTATCTATACGGTGTACAGTGTACAGTAAATAGTGTACATAGTAATGTGTAAAGTGTTTACTGAGTAAATTCTAAACTGTAAAATGTAAAATGTTATGTGTTAACTGTAAAATCTAGTGTTGATTGTAAACTGTAAACTGTTAACTGTAAAATGTAGTTTTGACTGTAAACTGTAAACTGTAAACTGTAAACTGTAAACTGTAAACTGTAAACTGTAAACTGTAAACTGTAAACTGTAAACTGTAAACTGTAAACTGTAAANCCGGATTGCAAGGGGTCATGTGCATATCCACGTTTCTGCTAAAAATTTGCACCCGTGGGTTTTAAATAAGTTGCTTAGTATAATTTTCTCTTAAAAAATTGAGATATTAGCATTCAAAGTTTTCAAAAAATTTATCATTCTGTAAACTGTAAACTGTAAACTGTAAACTGTAAACTGTAAACTGTAAACTGTAAACTGTAAACTGTAAACTGTAAACTGTAATCTGTAAACTGTAAACTAAAAGTGTTCAGTGTCCAGTGTGCAGTGTAAGAATACATAGATATTAAATTGATATATATTTTCATACTCGATCACTAGGTTTACCTGTGTGAGAACTCTTGTAACAGACTTAAACTCAGTGTACCGGGCAATATTGGAACTAATTAGTAGTTCGACCATACTTCCCCTGAACACAATATTGGAATTTATCAATAATTCGATCATACTCCCCCTGAACACAATATTGGAATTTATCAATAGTTCGACCATACTTCCCCTGAACACAATATTAGAACTTATCACAGTTCGACCATACTTCCCCTGAACACAATATTAAAACTTATCAATAGTTCGACCTGCTTCCCCTGAACACAATATTGGAACTTATCAACAGTTCGACCATACTTCCCCTGAACACAATATTAAAACTTATCCCTAGTTCGACCATACTTCCCCTGAACACAATATTGTAACTTGAAATAATATGTTAACTTCTTTCATGAAAACCAGAGATTTTACGAATTAAAAAAATTAACTAAATTTTCTTCCCCTTCTTTAATTTTCAGTGTTCACCCTTAGAAAGTGGATGACAATTATGTCGTGTAAAAATGAGATATATACAATATGCACAACAAATAATGTAACAAATAGCATTTTGTAATTACCTCGCATAAAGAAGACGAGGTGTAAGGTCTATATTAAACCGTCTAGACTCTTTCTATTAAAAAAAAAAGATTAGTTCAGTTGAACAGATATTGAAGCTGAAATTTTTATATTTAGTTCAGTTAAACAGAAACCAGATCGACGCATGTTCAGATATGTATTTTTATAGTTCAGTTGAACAAAAACCATATATACATTGTTAATATTTAGTTCAGTTGAACAAACCCCGAAGATGCAATGCTTATTTAGTTCAATTGAACAAAAACCTGAAATGTATTTTATATATTTAGTCCAGATGAATTAAAAATCTGACATGCAATGCCTTTATTTAGTTCGGTTGAACAGAAACGCATTTTCATCCTCAAATAAGATTACAATACAGAATACAGATCTTACAGCAATCTCAAGTTTAATGCGAACTTACCAACAGAGTTTCTTTGCTCCAAACTTTGGATTCTTTTGAGGGATTAGCTTTAAGACTTGATTCAGATGTTTCAGCTTTGGGACTCAAGGATTCAGATGTTTCGGGGTCTGAAGGATTTAGGTTCAGATCAGGGTTCGTGGGTTTTTCATTTCCAAGAGAGCTGGTCTCAACAAACCAGGTTTGACGGAGGTTTTCTACCGTTTTAAAACTGCCCAGGTTCAGATATTCTTCTCCTTTTCCTAGTTCAGGGAGGTCAGGGGTTTCGGGAGAAGGTTCAGATTGATCAGGAGATTGTTCAGATTGATCAGGAGAAGGTTCAGATTGATCAGGAGATTGTTCAGATTGACCAGGAGAAGAATCAGATTGTTTTGAGTTTTCCTGTGATTCATCGCTACTTTTAATCCAAACATCAAGACCTGAATAATCCAGATTTTAATCAATCATAACAGGAGGGTGGTAGAAAACAAAACTTATAGGTTTATTGGATTAGTTGGAATTTTCCAATTTGTTGACACATTTTCAAATATCAACCCCCCCCCCCCCCCCTCCTTGAAAAACCATACTTTCCCCCAATATATTGGGAATTTCGAACAAATAAATAAATTTTTGCGTAAAAGTTTCACTAATAATTTCTCACCTTCAAGTGTAAATGATGCAAAATCTCCTCCATAATACCCTGCAGTATCTATATGCAGTACAGTGTGTCCCATCCTAGCCGCAGCAGCAGCAACTATACTCTCCACCAGTCCAGTTCCTACCACCACCAACTAGGATAAACCATCTTTATTAATAAAACTATACTCTCCACCAGTCCAGTTCCTACCACCACCAACTAGGATAAACCATCTTTATTAATAAAACTATACTCTCCACCAGTCCAGTTCCTACCACCACCAACTAGGATAAACCATCTTTATTAATAAAAAATATACTCTCCACCAGTCCAGTTCCTACCACCACCAACTAGGATAAACCATCTTTATTAATAAAACTATACTCTCCACCAGTCCAGTTCCTACCACCACCAACTAGGATAAACCATCTTTATTAATAAAAACTCTCCACAAGTCCAGTTACGCCTAACTGGGGTTGGACTTATTAACCCCGCCCACTCAGGCTATTGATTTTTACCCCGCCTCCCCGGGCTGGACATAAACCCAACCTCCCTGGCAGTGCTTAGGATCCGGATCTGTTGGATCCACAAGATTTCGGCTTTCTGGATCCGGATCCAATGGACATAAGGTCAACCAAAAACTGCAAAAAAAAATATTTTTTTACTCTCAAAACCCAAACCTGAACTTTTGAGGAAATAGACATTATAAAATTTCATGATCCCTCTTTGTTAAAAAATGCAGTAAATCTTGAAGAAATAATCATGGCTTGGATCCAGATCTATTTTTTTCAGTGCGGATCCAGGATACGGATATGGATCCTAAGCACTGCATTCCCTTGGCAGTATATTATAACATCTCTTCCAACGGCATTTCAACAAAATCTCGCCTAGCTATCTGGGCAGTAAATACTGAAACTGGTCTGGAAGATCTAGTAAATACCTGGAACTGGTCTGGAAGATCTAGTGTACTCGACATTATCTTCGCTTTATGCAGGTGAAAGTTCTGAGCACTAACTCTCTACAAATATGAATACAAATATGAATTCTGAAGAATAGGCTTGCGCTCCCGTCCAGTTGAGTTCCATCACACTAACTCAGTGAAGAGCCGAGTGTAAATATATTAGTTAGAAACAAGCCTATTGCTGTCTACAACGGGCCCTTCTGTATAACCAACAGACCCCTAGTGGCCCTGTCGGTACCCCTAGTATGCTGACATGTTTAATCCAACAGATCCCTAGTGGCCCTGTCGGTACCCCTAGTATGCTGACATGTTTAATCCAACAGATCCCTAGTGGCCCTGTCGGTACCCCTAGTATGCTGACATGTTTAATCGGCTTTGTGGATAATGGTTGATTACCATCACAATCTGCTTCTATCTATCTATATCTGTCTATCTATCTATCAATTGTCTTCCAGTTTTTTGTTTAAGTGAATTTTTTTTTCATGTTGACATTCATATATGTTCTCAATAAAAAGTTTAAGAACAAATTTCTGATAAAACTTACATTTCTTGCGAGGATTGATTTAGGGGAAGAGAAGTTTAGGATGAAGGACCCCAAATAAAAACAAAAATATTAAATAAACAAAAGCTACAAGAATTAATATAAAAAAGAAATAAAAAATATCATAGGAAGTGATAGTTAACGAATTTGTAAGTGTCTAGTGAGTGAGTGCCATATCCTCAAATTATGACGTAAAATTTAGCTATTTTTTGATCTCATCTGGGTAACAAATTTCTATCTGAAAAACAAAGATATCTCAATCAATTTGAATTTAAAAAGAAGATTATATCTGTAAAATAAAGCTCTTCGCTCATGTATATATGTATGTATGTATATATTTATATATATATGTTAGCTAAAGCTGGCCAAAAGGCTGGACCAAATTGGCTGATTTTTTTGTTGAGAAAACATAGGCTTAAAAAAACTTGATTTTTTTCTTCTTCAAAATTCGATTTTATTAAGAAATTCCACGGGCAACACCAGGCACTTTAGCAACAATGTTCATAATCTCGTTTAATTCTTCTCAAATATATGTATTGTATACCTGCATATGTGAATACAGTCACGTCAGTCAACCTGTTATTTTTTAATCTGAAAACGAAACACTTTACAATATTTGGTTCGGAGGGTGATTAAATGATTATATGTTGGAAACTAAGAAATTTTCTGTAGGTCTAAATGCAGAGAAAAAAAATTGACATGCAATATTTAACAAAATATTATTTACAATTAATCAAAACTCCGAATAAGGATCTTTGTTGCATCAGACTTTTCTGGACGCTTCTTCTTTTCTTGGCCTAATCACTGTCACTGTCGTTTCTTCCGTTCTTCCTGTAGTTCCGTCCTTAAATATCGTCAAATTTAATATCTATGAAAATAGGGAGGGGGGGGGGATCAAATGAGCAAAAAGAGAGATAGTAAAGAGGTGAAAAGAATAGGATAATAAATATCGAGATCTAAGATAACTTAAGGGGAAGGTATTGTATTTTTCTAGGTTTAAGTGTTTAATTCTGATAATTTCTACAAGTTTTCCTGCAAGTCCCTTATGTATTGAAGCCACAGTTGAAAATAATCAGATTTCCAAAATTATGAACATTGATTTATAATTCACAATTGATCAGTTAATGCATATAGGATACTGTTATGAACCGGGCATTTCCATCTTTGCATGGATGTTCACTTGAAAATACGCGTACAGACCCTTTAATTGGAAAGAAAAAATAAGAGAGTACAATAGATCAAGGACTAAAAGATAAATGGTTGAAGGATTAATGAATATATCACAGAATAATGCCCACCTGGTTTCTTTTTCTCTCCCTTGGTCTTATCCTTGTCTTCCGGTGAGCCATCCCTCTCTTCTCCACTGTCATCATAATACCGTCTATACCCAGACCCAGATCCTACACAGAATACACTACAGTACTGTACATAATACCGTCTATACCCAGACCCAGATCCTACACAGAATACACTACAGTACTGTACATAATACCGTCTATATCCAGGCCCAGATCCTACACAGAATACACTACAGTACTGTACATAATACCGTCTATATCCAGGCCCAGATCCTACACAGAATACACTACAGTACTGTACATAATACCGTCTATATCCAGGCCCAGATCCTACACAGAATACACTACAGTACTGTACATAATACCGTCTATATCCAGGCCCAGATCCTACACAGAATACACTACAGTACTGTACATAATACCGTCTATATCCAGGCCCAGATCCTACACAGAATACACTACAGTACTGTACATAATACCGTCTATATCCAGGCCCAGATCCTACACAGAATACACTACAGTACTGTACATAATACCGTCTATATCCAGGCCCAGATCCTACACAGAATACACTACAGTACTGTACATAATACCGTCTATATCCAGGCCCAGATCCTACACAGAATACACTACAGTACTGTACATAATACCGTCTATATCCAGGCCCAGATCCTACACAGAATACACTACAGTACTGTACATAATACCGTCTATATCCAGACCCAGATCCTACACAGAATACACTACAGTACTGTACATAATACCGTCTATACCCAGGCCTAGATCCTACATAGAATACACTACAGTACTGTACATAATACCGTCTATACCCAGGCCCAGATCCTACACAGTATACAATTGAGTGCTGTACATAAAACCGTCTATACCCAGGCACAGATCCTACACAGAATACACTACAGTACTGTACATAATACCGTCTATACCCAGACACAGACCCTACACAGAAAACACTGCAATACTTTAACATATAATATTAACATTGAAATCAACAAATAAGATTTACAATAACTTCTGATCTGAAACTTGAAATGGACTCCAACAATCATTTTACCTTTATTTTTATCCTTGGACTTTGATCTTCTATCTCTTCCTGATCCTCTACCCTTGTCCCTGGACTTACCCCTGGTCCTAGACCTAGACCTAGTTCGGGACCGTCGACGGGATCTGAAAAAAAAATTTAAACATAGAGTTTAATAAAAAACTTTTTAAAAAAATGATAAAAATTTATAAAAAATGGTATAATGTTCAACTTAAGAAGGATTTTGTCCTGAAATCGTCCACCCTTAAATTACTAGAATAAAAGTACAGTATCCAACCCTACCTGGAGCATCTTGTTACAGTATCCAACCCTACCTGGAGCATATTGTTACAGTATCCAACCCTACCTGGAGCATCTTGTTACAGTATCCAACCCTACCTGGAGCATCTTGTTACAGTATCCAACCCTACCCGGAGCATCTTGTTACAGTATCCAACCCTACCTGGAGCATCTTGTTACAGAATCCAGCCCTACCTGGAGCGTCGTCTATCTCTGCTGCGCCTGTCTCTGTCTCCATCCCTTCCCCCTCGTCCTCTACTATTGACAGACAAACTTATATATTAAATAAAAATTCTGTTTTAAGGGAAAAAAACCTTAGAATTTAAAAGAAAAAAAACTATAAATCAAAAACACGTAATCTAAAACTTGCGTAACGTCCCATCAACTCCGCACATTGCACAAGTTTAGGAATGATGAACCAAGTTTGTCTGTCCCATTAACCTTTTCCGTTCTTGTTCTATCTCATACTTGAGATCTGGCAAACCATCAGCTCCCCCCCTCCTTCCCCCCCTATCCTTGTCATATTCTTCCCTTTTCTTCTTCTTCTCCGCCAACTGCTTCTTCTTCTTCTCAATATTCATCAACTGAGCCTATTATCAAAATATGATAAATAAATATATATAAAGTTGTAATCACTGTTTGTCTGTTGGTTTGTTTGTCCGATCATAACTCAGGAACCCCATTTTAATCAAATTTTGATTGAGGAACTCGGGAGAACCACGGGAATGTTCTAAGCCCTCTTTAAAAATAACCGCCTAAAAACGGAAGTAAAGTTGTCAGTCAAAACAAAAACATGTAAATGAGAAAAAATAAGGAGAAAATGTCTAGGATGCGTTTTTTTCTGTTTTTGCTTTTTTTGGATGTTAACCTATTAATTCGTTTCAGATTATTTTTGATGTTTTAAACCAACATAGGATGCAAGAACACCATATTGATAATTATTAATTTGAAACAAAAGATGACGAAATTTGAGAAAGGGAATTGATAGGGAGGGGGGAGGGGGAATGAAAACTCGAACTGACAAGTTTTCTCCTAATAAGATACTTCCGTTCCATTTCAAGATGTCAAAGAAATATGAATAATTATTCTTTAGTCTGTGCCAACATGTCAAGTTGTCTAACCTGTTCAATCTCATACTGAAGATTGTTATATTCTTCCTCAGTCATTTTGTAGAACCCCTCAACACGGTAGGGACATTCCTTAACAATATAACAAGTTTAATAACAGGGTAGGGACATTGGTAACTTATCCAATGTAAACTAGCCAGGAGAAGATGGTCAAATTTATGCAACATTACAGGAATAACTAGTGGCTCCTTCAGTTTTGGTTTTAGGAACAAGTATGCGAAAATCAAATCTATAATATAGAAATTCAAAATATTTTTGTTCTCTTCTAGAGCTCTTAAAAAAGAGGAGTAATGATTGAAAACATGAGATTTCAATTTTACGTGAACTTTACTTTAGTTTGTCGTGTCTTGCACTTGAAAACTTAACCTACCTTCCACCAATGCTTCTCATCGTAGCAGATCCTACAAGCTCGACATTCACAAAGTCTCGCCTCCTCAGCACAAATATTACAGAACTTGGGATCCTCCGGGATTGCCCTACAATGATTCGTGATTTATGAATGAGATCATATCTTAGTTTATGACTTCACTCATTGGATTCATTAGTTCCCAGAATTACGACAAAAATAACATTAGACGATGGATTTTTAAGCTTGACTCTTGGTTTCTTGGCCTATATATTAAAAAGAAAAAGATTTAAAATAATAAATTTTATATCTAGAAAGGGAAGCATTAAATAAAATGTTAAATTTTGACATCGTTTTAATTTATTATTTGGCTGTATTTAAAAAAAAAAAATAATTAAACCATTTTGTTAAGCAAATTTTATGATAAATCTAATATAAATAATTTTTTATCTAAATGCATATAATTGTTATCAGTATTATTAATTTTTTGTAACGCATTAAAACCAAATATAGTTATATCATAATTTTTTGACAATAAGTTTTTATAAAATAAAAAAGATGATAGTAGATAAAATTATCCAGGGTGCTTTCACGTCTACGCACACTCTGACCCTATTCTTGTGACACACCATCGACATTTCTACCTTTCTTAAATACATGTATATTAATAATATTTAATGAATAAGATCCCTACCTGTAAGGACAGTTATCAAACTTGTGTCCCTTTTGTTTACAGTTATGACAATCATATCCTTTATTCTTTAGATCTCCTGATAAATAAAATCTTGTTTTTCTTTTTATATTTCTAATATATAATGTTTCTTAAAAATTATCAGTTTGATTATGTAATATGCAACAATACTAACTTCGATATCTGATTTTTAAAAACAAGGATGAGCAAAAATAATGTTTTAAAATGATTTTTATCATCTATGAAGATATGAAAACCAGATTACATCATTATTGGGCGACCATGATCATGAATCTGAATTTTTTGCGCATTTTTCCAGTTTTATCAATATTTTTAACAGTTTGTAAGTATTTTAAGCTATCTCTAATTAAACAGCCAATGATAGGTTACCTAATTATCTATTCAAAGTTCCAAATCATAGAAAATGATGATGATATTATACCTTCATCCTCATCCTCATAGTAGTAGCAGTTCCCCTCCTCATCATAATAGTATCCATCCTCATCCATATACAGATACCCCTCCGGGTCTTCCTCTCCCTCCTCATACTCGTCACCCTCATCTCGACGTCGACGACGTCGCCGATCCTCGCCACCGTTCTTCCTTCCAGATCTGAAGTGGATTGTATAGTGTAGACGTAATTTCAATATTTGTATTTCCGACCCATATTGATACTCGGTATGCATTTACAAAATTTAACACTAACACACTAGAAAGCAATGATCAGATATAGTTTTGAAGGAAACCGTTCTACATCGTAAATGCATGCAAATTGTTGTGTTCTGGATACTAGGCAAAAATAATACCGAGAACATTTTCTAACTTAATTGATTGATTGATTGATAAACGTTTATTTCTATACACCTTATTACTGGTGTCTTAAATCCATTTTATAAACTTTCATTAACATTTTCATAACAACCATGGATGGGATTTTTTTTTATTACCTTGATCTGCTCCTGGAGTTGGATTTGCCTCTTGATCTTGAACTTTTCTTTCTTCTTGATCTTGATCTTGATCTAGGAACAGACAATCAATGATCTTGGAATAAGTTTTCCATTTTAAAGAAGACAATTGAGAAATTAAATTTTTAAGAAATAAAATATTCATCTAAATGTTTTTCGGTTCACTTCAATAAAAAGTAACTTTTATCAATTTTTTATTAATTTAAAATATTAAATTTTGTTGAATATTGATTCTAGTTTCCTGCTGGTGCCGGAAGATGATGAACTGCTGCTACTTGATCTCCTTCTCCTACTCCTACTCCTAGTCCTACTTCTGCTCCTCCTCCCCTCGTTCTCGTCTGTCTGTATCTCCCCCTCCTCCGCCTTATCGATATACTTCTTACGGAGTAGATCTCCCAGCTTACCGGAGCTACTGCTGGGCCCGGCTCCGGAGTCCATCTGAAATCAGAGATGTCTAGATTCTTCAGGAATATATTTGTTTAAAGAATTAAACCACCCCCCACCCCCCTCCTCAGGGAAATGATGCCATGAGAAAAACATGAAAAATCAAAGGACAAGGTTTTTCAAAACCTTTTTTTAATGCATTAAACACAAAATATTATTTATTATCTTAAAAGCGAATAAAACTCCATATTTACACAATAAATAGTTATCAATTCCCTATATCAAATTAATTTTATAGTAAATAAAACTTTACTCAAAAATGAATTCATTTCTTGAACCCTAACAATAACAAGAAAATGTTTTTTAAGAAATAGTATAAAATCTCATCGCCCGATGAACTCGTTTATCCCTTAAATTCTTGATACATTACCATTATTAATAAATAATAATACGTAATTTATTGCGGTAATTTCCTATTATACGATTTTTTGGACCCCCCCCCCCACTCCCCTCCCATCAATTTTGTGCAAGGATCTCATATGCAACACATGGATAAAATTGGTCATTTGGCCGCAGCGCCCGGCCCCTTAGCCTGTCCTAGTCTCGGCCCTGGCCTTTCCTAGCCGCAGCGCTCGGCCCAGAAATTCTCTTAACCTAATCCTATAATATTACAAAATAAATATTAATTTATCTGAAAACAAGTGCTCATATGGCCCCAGCGCTAGCCGCGACGCTAGGCCCCTGGACTGTCCTAGCCGTCGCGCTTGACCCCCTAGACTGTCCCAGCTGCAGCACTCGGCCAAGAAACTGTCTTATCCTAACCCTAACATTATATAAAATTAATAATTTTTCGGAAAATTAATGGTCATGTACAAAATGTATAGATGGGGGTCCAAAAACCGTATACTAGCTAGGACGGACCCATTTATTGTTAGTACTACCTAATATATCAACCTTTAATTATTTATCTTTTATCATTTGATAAATTAGCTTATTTTGTCTCGTAAATCATTTTCATTTTTATAACATTTCATTTTAAACCCGACATTGTACATTTTCTGCATTTTTCTCATCTTAAACCAAAAATCCAAATCAGAATGTTATTTATTTCTCGAGACGCAATCTAAGGTGTCCACGTTTATATTTTCCAATATCACTTCTTCAGTCGATTTCTCTTTAATGTAATCTTTTAAAATAATAACTAAATTGAGACGGCTATTTTCTGCGAAGTAAATGTGATATGGACAAAATCCCATCACTTATTAAGCGCCAATATTTCAGTTTTTCGGCAAATTAGATGTGGAAATCTTAACTTTGCTTATGAAAATAAAATTGCAATTGAGCACTGAGGCCGCGTAATTATTGTTTTATCAAAGACGACACTATATATCCTCATTTAAAAAAATGCATTTTCAAGAAAAGGTTTTTAAAACTGTTTATTATTTTATAAATTTGGCTTATACCAAAACAAACGTGTGTGCGTGTGTGGAGGAGGGGGGGGGGAAATAATCTTGGAGTGGTGTATTCTGTCCTCCCATCGAAAAAATCTTGCAGAAATATTAGATGCAGAAATCTTTTAGCATGTGGCAGAGAAGCTTGACGTTTAATCAGTGGCTTACTGGGGAGGGTGTGGGGGTGATTCAAACGGGAGTAGTTCAAACAGGGTAGCATCAGCGGGGGGGGGGCTTGAAACCTGTTTACTCCCTAGACACGCCCCCCCTCCTATAGGATTGTAGGCCCCGGTTCATGATCCTATATGTTCTTTTCTTACAGTTGAAAAATTTTCCGTTTCATGATAATTTCTCAAATTCTTTTATCAGACTTTAATTTTATTTGCAATTTTTTCAGAATACGTTTTTTAGGGAATACACAACGAAAATTATAAAATGTCGAGTACACCTCGTACACCCCTGCGTTTAATAGTTAAAGTGCTGCAATTGTAGCAACTGATTTATCTCTAAAAATGTTCTGAAAATATATTCTACAACTAACAAATCAAAAAAGGTTATTGTTAATTGTTCAATCCTCCTAGAAATCAGTTATCAGACGGTTAATAAACAATTATTAAACTACGCCGAAATTTTCTTACGGGGTTTTGTTTTAAGAGTAAATCTATAGCTCCAGGATAAGGGAGGGAGTGCAAACTACCTAGATTTGTAATCACCACCAACTCACTTTAAAATTACTTCTATAAAAAATAGTTTAGTTGCAAATTGCAAAAACAAGACAAACAATTTATAATTAAAAGAAAAAATAAGAAAACAATAATTTCATGGTTTTTTGGTTCTTATATTGTAATCTATAAAAGAACAAAAACTTAAACTTAAAGCTACAGTTTGTCCTAAAAAAATCTAAAGTGTTAAAAATGTTATTTAAACCAAATACCCAAATCATAAACATTTATTTAAAATTTTGGCTGAAAAATTATCTAATAAATCATCTAATAAAATTGTTTTACATGTACGTAGATAAAGATAAGAAGAATCATTAATCAAATAGATCAAAACTAACAATTCTATAGAAATTATGCATATTCATATTCAAACATGGAAAAGATTTTATTGATATCACTGTAAAATTAAGCGAGCAAAGTTGGATCTTTTTTTTATTCGAATCAATATTTTTGTAAATAATATTCATTATTATTGTATTTAAATTTCCCAAAAATAGATTTTTTTTAAATTAAAAAATACTGTAACATTTAGAAAGGAATTACTAAACCAAATACATATATATTCAATCTTATTTAATAATTATATAC